TTTTATTCCTTTTCATTGTAGTATAAGTTAAATATGGATATACAATTGGAGTAAGTCCTAGTTTTGATGAAAGGCTGTAAAACTAAACTAAAATAAACAAAGAAGTAGGTCAAGAGTCACTAGGAAAACATGTCTGTTCCTTTCAGTAAGGCTTTCTGGAGTGTTGCCCACAGAATTAAAAAGTGCTTTTTTTGAGATCCATTAGGTGTTGTTTTTGAGAAATCCTAGAGCAGCGGTTTTCAAAATGTGGTCCAGGAACAACTGGGGATCTCAAGACCCGTTTGAGGTCTTAATAATCAAAACTATTTTCAAAATAGTGATCAAACCTATTTTCATAATAACACCAAGGCGTTATTGGCCTTTTTCACTCTCACTCTCTCATGAGAATACAGTGGAGGTTTCCAGAGGCCACATGACATGCGATACGGCAAGAGATTGAATGCAGAAGCAGATGTGAGAATCCAGATGTCCTCTATTACACCAGACATTAAAGACAGTTTCAAAAATGTGAAACAATCCTACTCATCTCACTAGATTTTTTTGGTATGTAACACAGATTTTTTTTCAAAAAATGTTATTTATGTTAAGATGTTCATTATCATTAAAAATCAGTAATTAATTTTTTCCATTTTAATATCTAATAATATACATATCAATAGATAGAACCTATATAAACAAAAGCTCTTTGGAGGTGCTTTACATTTTTTAAGTGAGTGAAGGAGTCCTGAGACCAAAAGCTTTCTGAACAGCTGTCCTAGAGGATAAGTAAATCTCTGAACCTTTGAGTAGGGCAAAGTGACCTTGTTAACAACTATGGGAGGGGCAGTTATATGTAGTTTGAAGTTATACAAATGTTAGCAGTGATACTAACTTGAATGCCCTTTTCATGGTTATCTATGAGGCACTTCAGGAGAAATTCTCACCTGATAACTGAACAAAGGAACAGTCAAGTCTTGGTACTCTCCCCACTTTATAGATAAAAAAAGTTAGGATTAGAGAATTTAAGTGATTTCCCAAAATCATAGACGTGGTAAAGTAGAGCTGGAACTGTTTGGTACTTGTGACTCGCATGTTTCCTTGTCATTCCACTGTTCAATCAGCTTGTTTTCTTCTAGTGGAGCTCAGTGTAATATATCCCAGCTCCCACCTCCTTATGAAGCAGACCAGTTTAATGTTCTCTATGACACAATAAGTAATAGGCATTACTAACACCTTGAAAAATACCAGTTCATTTGAAATTCACTGATCAGATGAAAAATATCACAGAAAATATACCTGGGCAAAATATAGGGAAACAAAGCCTCACAATTTTTTTTTTTTTTTAAATAAACACAGCGTGGGATTATGCTAGCAAGATTTAAAAGAAAGAACACTTCCTGAATAAGGGTCTATAAAGTTAGGGTTCGCTGATGATGTTAATGCCCATGAAAAAAGGGCAAAGTAGTAATAGTGTGCTGTGTTGGAATGCTAGTAGCACAAGATCATGGCTTCTGCAGTTAGCAAGGAAGGAACTTCTTTTAGAGGATCTTGTCTAGTTTTGCCATTGTAGTTGTAAAGGATGAGAAATGAGAGAATGTTTGAAGAGTGGCAGTGGATTAGCACATGGGATTCTGGAGGAGTGAGGAAAAAAGAATGCAGGACAGTAATTTGCCAGCAAGTCAGTGTGTGGTAGTTGCCTATGGAACAGACTGTGTTTCTTCGATTTCAGCACCATGTGTAGGCTTACATCTCCTGGAAATATAAAATGTATCTGCTCTGCACTTCGTTATATGTAGCAGATGTTGCTTCATGTTCTTGAACCCAATTTGCAGAATGAACATGGTATCATATAACATACTTCTAAACACGGAAGAGAAGAAACTAGTTAGCTGGCCTCCTACTAGGACAGCTTTAAGAAGGGCCAGACTTAGCCACTGCCTGTCCGGGGTTCAGAAGTGCAGTATATTCTAAGAAGAAAAGAAGTGACGTGATATGTTTATTGATATAAATTATAATTAAAGAATGTTCAGTTATATTTTTAGAGAAAATATAAAATACATAGCATAATAAGGAGGGTAATCTTATCATTGAATGGTTTGCCTTTGTTTTATAGTTTTTTTAATTTATAAGTCATGTTTATTCTATTACAGTTGTCTCTGTTTTTTGGTTGCCTTTCTCCATTTCACATCCTCTAATATTGAAAAAAAATTTTCTTGTAACATTTACCAATGATCAAAAAAACAACAACAACAACAACAAACAAACCCATCTTTCCATGACTCGGTATCTGTTTCAGGTTATCACAGAAACTTATTCAGCTTTTGACTCTTATTATAATCCAAATATTCACAGATAACAGTGTGGTAACTGTGGGGAAGGGGGGAGTGAGGGTAAGCAGAGGGGATCAGGGGGATAAATGTTGATGGAAGGAGACTTGACCTGGGTGGCGATCGATCGATCAATCAATCAATCAATGTAAAGTCCAAATATTGAGTGGTTCATCAGCATAAGTGATTATTAAATCTTTGCTTTGTATATGTCCTGAAAGCAGGGCTTGCTATAGAAGGTGTATTTATGTAACAATGCCTTTGTTCAAAGCCCTTGCATTTTTTTGTACATGCTGTCTTAATGGAAATTTACTGGAAAGTTCTTGCCAGAATAAACACATTCTTTTAGGAATGAAAGACTTCATGTACTTTAAGTTCAACTGCACCTCTTTCCTGGGAGTAGATAAACCAAATTATGTGGCACTGGTCATTATAATTTACACATCCTATAGTATGGTATTGTGGTCTCCCATGGGCTAAGGGTTGTAGAAGATAGGAATAAGGTAAACAATCTTCCACTACAGAGAGATAAAACCAAAACAGGGATAAGGCCTTCATATAATGGACATGAAATAAACCCAAAGTGAATGTGGAGACATTCTGTAAATTACCTTTAGCTACTCTGGTAGAGAAAAATTAAGGAATTTGGCCCATAGAGAAGTTGAGCTGCTGATCACAGAAATTGAAAAAAAAAAAAAAGACTCTGTTTTAAAGAAAGAACTTTCTGATTAACATTTTTAAAAATACATTTTACTGATTATGCCATTACAGTTGTCCCAATTTTTCCCCCTTTTTCCCCTCCACTTGGTACCCCCGATTCCCTCCAGCAATCCCCCCCTTAGTTCATGTCCATGGGTCATGCAGATAAGTTCTTTGGTACTCCATTTCCTATACTGTTCTTAACATCCGCCTGTCTATTCTGTGTCCTTCACATTTTAATTTAAGAAGCAGAAGTGTAAACGTTCAAATGAGAACAGTGACTTCATCAAGGCAAGAGAAGGGGACCAGGCTGGGATACAGGGATGTAAACAGGACAGTTGGGGCAGGGAAGGAGGAAGTACCCCTTGAATTAAGGGATGGAGGAGGCAAACAATGGACAATAGAGACTGGAGGAAAGAGATCACGCAAACATGCCTGGACTTCTTCCTGCTGGCCCTCGTCCTAACACTCATCCATCACCACCCTGCCGATGCTTCTGAGGAGAGATTATAGCGATTGTTCACTCATTCATGCAACCAGCATTAATAAAGTGCATAATCAAGGCAGAGAGAACCATCTCTAAAGGACTAAAACTAGCCTATTAGCATATTACAGTTAAGTAGTCAGTTAATTAAAATTATTTGTAGCAATAGGGAATTAAGTTCTTTGACTCTTTCTACAAAACCGTTGAAATTTAACTGCTGTGTAGCTTTGACTAGAGGTAAGTGGTCCTCTCCCTTATGTAGTCTGACTATTAAAAAATTATAGGAAAGGCCAGTTTAAATGTTAGAATAACAAAATAGTAGTTCACCAATTATTGTCCCCACGCAAATTGTATTTTTTAAAAATTATTGAATATAAAAGGAAAGCACCATAACTGATAATTTTCCTCTTTTAAATAATTAGGCTTTGTCCCTCTATCTCAATGTAAATGATATGAAACAAGAATTTAATATTTCTAATATATATGGGTTTTTATTATAAGGCCCTTTAATTCAGTTTGAGTAGAAGGTGGGATGTGACTTATACAGGAAAGATATAGTTAACTTGAAGTCATAAAAATACCTTCATTTATTCAATTTATCCTTTTCTTCATAGATAATATTTGAGATAAATGTTTAAGAGGTAATCGTAGATATTTATTCAGAATCACCAATAAATGAATTTTTCCAGTAAGTGAAGTTTTACCACTTTTAAAAATACATATTAATGAGTATATTTATAAGTAAAGATTAAAAGTTGCTTTATATAGTAAAATGTAACGGTGGACTTATATAGCATTCTTCTATTTATATTTTGGTTCCAAAAATAAAATGGAAATTCAAAAAGTACCTGATTTATTGATTATAAGTATTTGTCATATAAACGTTGGTTGAGTTTGGTTTCCAGATATAAATGATAAACATGAAATATTGTGTAAAACTTCAGTCCTAATTTAGTTGACTAGTAGTCTCTAATTGAGATTTAACTTGAGAACAAAGTTTTAGGTTCAAAGAAGTCAAATAATGTAAGTGAAATGGAAACGGAAAAATTATTTCTCACATTGCTCTTTGTGCTTCACCATACTTCTTTTCTTTGCGGGGGGGGCGGTTAAAAAATGAACCTGCTCCATACTTACCTGGCAGGGGAGACTCCAGGATCACGAAGGTGGTTTGCCCAGGGCGAGGCTTATCCATTGCACTCCGCATGTGCTGCGCCCTGCCGTTTCCCCAAATGTGGGAAACTCGACTGCATAATTTGTGTAGTAGGGGACTGCGCTCTCGCTCTCTCCTGGAGAAAAAAGAAAAAAAAAGAATGAAGCTGTTCCTTCTACAAGAATATTATAACTAGTAGCATCTCAAGGTAAATAGTTTCAAATATATATATATCTGTTTTTCTTAAGGAGAATTTACGAACTTTCCAACTTTCTTAGCTCAGTGCTAGATATTTTGAAATTGTACTACTTCCTCATGTAGTAAAATGAACCATGTTTTTTTTTTTTTCTTTAATTTACAGTCGTAGATATGGCCAGTACACTATGAACCAAGAAATCACCAAAGTAAAGGAGAAGCCTCCATTTGATCGCTCAGGTTCCCAGGATTCTGTGGATGAACTACATATGGAGGACTATTGGACCGAAGTAGAAAATATCAAGAAATCTAGTGAGAACAGACAAAATCAAGAGGTCGTGGTTGTCAAAGAGCCTGATGGTAATAACTAACTAAAAAACTTTTTCTTCCTTTTCTTTTTAGTTTGTATATGTATTTATAGGAAATGAATACAGGGAAAGGAAGAGGAGAACAACAATAAAAAATTAAAGGTAGAGCAACCCAAAAAACATAATGCAGGTTACCTTTTAACTTGAAAATTACTGTTAGTGGCAGATTATGGATGCAGTTGCCAAGTACAAGTGACACGAGTAAATTCCTTTAGGCTTATGTGGCTACAAGCTTGTTGGCTAAGTTTACTGTATCATAGAATTTTAATGTTAGACTTGATCTTCGAAATCATCTCACCTCCCTTTGCATTCCTTCTGTGGCATCCCAGCCAAATAAGCTCACAGCTTTGCAGTGATACTGTTTTTTCCATTGGCCAGTCATTTCCAGTTGTTTTGATGTTCTATATATTTTATTGATTACAATCTGGTATATTCCCTTTGATTCACATGCTTTTTGGAAGAGCAGAACTAGTCTATTCTATTTTTACATAATAGCCATTCACATGTTTGAAGATAGTTATTCTGTTGCTCAGCAAGTCCTTTCTAGAAGAGAAAAAGATTCCCATGGACCATTCCTCAGTGGTGGTTTTCAGAACTATCCCAGTGCTGGTCATCATATCTTTCAAAGTATGGTACCCCAGATTGGATGCATGCTAAGGTTTAGCCAGCTAACTTAAGTGTATGGTTTTGAACAGTGGAAAGATGGCATTAGTATTTTTTTTTTTAGCCTCTATATTTGTTTCTTTCTTGTGTTTGCTCCATAATTTTTCTCAAGTCTCTGTCCAGTTTTTTCCAAGCCTCTTTCCCACAGTCTCTCCACAACTACACTTGATATCCTGGAAGAAACATGTAAAACTTTTCTTTTTTTCCCCCCTTAAATTGCATACCATTTTTTTAATCTCTTAAATGCAGGCAGTCTTCAAGTTTTGATGCCCAATTTTGGCATCTATTATATGGCATCCTTTTTATGCCTTGGGCTAGCCATAATTCTGTAAGTATGTCTTTGGTATATAAATTGATATAAATGCCAAAAACAGTAAGAGCCACCCACAGTCAATGCCTCGTGACCCACTAATAGTGATTTCCTTTTCCATGGAAGATTTCCTAATTAAATGACTTAGCACTGAGATATTTTATTGGCAAAAACCTACCTAAAAAGGTTTTTCTCCTTTGCTATAATGTTGCTTGAAAAATTTACCAATAATACATTAAAAAGAAAAATTGGAGATTTTTCTCAATTTAACATTTCTTACATTTGTATAAGAAAATTTTAATCAATTCATTCTTTTGTTTGGGTTTACTTTCATTATACTCTCATTTTGTTCTCACTTTACCAGTAAAGTCAGGCTTATTTGTGATAGCAGTATCTCAGCCTTTCTGTGTCATTGCTTGAAGACGGACGCAGCTTATTGGTGATTTGCTGAGTAAGGAGAAAATATTGTGCAGGAAACAGCATTCAGGCCTGACAATAGCCATGTGTCATTAGCTATTTCATAATTTACCAAGATTAAAATTAATTCATAGATTGCTGTTTGTTCTGTGATTATCAAGAATTGGAAATGTTTTTACACGTCCATGCCTTTACTTTGACTTCAAATTGAGTTTTACTGCTACTTTTTAATGGAACAAATGATTCAATATTGTAACATTGTTTACTTTATCAGCTATTTTTCCTGGCAGTTTGGTTTTATGCACTTTACCGAGTTCTACCTTAACAGCATTAATAGTAATGGCTGACTTTATGTCAGTAGTAAACAGTTTTTGTTGCCTGGCATGCAGAATGTCTAGCAGTACATTATGTTTCTTGAAGCCAAGGTTATTAATACTTGATTTCTACCCTCAGGGAGTTTAGACAGTATACAAGGATAGATGGGCAAAACCAGTCAGTACCGCACCATGGGGTACGAGCTGTCATAGAGCCCTGCGAGACTCGTCCCGTATAACATTCTCACTTTCAGTTATGAGGCAGCCGGACAGCTGTACTGTAGGTTACAGATGAGAAAACAAAGTCAGCTTGTGGCCAAGTGACTTGTCCAAAGTGACGTGGTTATCAAGGTGCAGAAATGGGGCATGGATGCAGGTCTTTTGTGTCCGGAGTAATTGGTCTTTAACTTTCCTCTATAGAATCTGTGCTTGGTGTGTAACTATTCTAGTTACTTTTCTGTTTTTCTGTATTTTTTAAATTAAGCTCAAACCATATTTGCTTTACTATTTACCTCCTGCTTTTAGTGTTTTAAATTGCTCTAATTATATAATTTGTTGCTTATAATAAGGTACTTTTTTTTTTGCTTAAAATTGTATGTTTTTTAAAAATTTGTTAAAAAAAAAAAACATGAGTCTGATGTGCTGACTAGGGGAATTAAAAAAAAATAATTTGAAATTGATTAGTTCCTGATGTCTAGAAGCTCTTTACTTCTTTGTCACACTCCCTGTCAGCGACAGTGAACAGAAAAAAACCAACCTTTCTATCAATTAGTGTTGAACTCAGGGACACTGAATTTAAGCCAAGAAACAGAGTTTTAATGGTTATCTCCAGAACTGACTTCCTTCTATAACTTGATGCAAATAAGTTATATTTTCATTGCTTGCTCATCTCTGGAAAGGGAACAGTACTGTCTTCCATAGTTAATCTGCAGAGAAGTTAAAGAGGTTAATTACATCTGAAGTCATTTACATTTTTTAATTGAGTATATATGAAATGGATCTACAAGTTGATATCTCTGTACTTGGGGTTTATGGCAGTGGTCCAAATTTCAGATAATGATTCTTGAGCACTGTGGTTTGGTTGCAATAGAAGATTTTCACTAAGTATTTTTTAAAGGCTTAAAAAAATGTACAAGTATTGTGTGATTTTATATATCATTTTTCTCTACTCTCTCAGAGGGCGAATTGGAAGAAGAGTGGCTTAAGGAGGCCGGTCTGTCTAATCTCTTTGGAGAGTCTGCTGGAGACCCCCAAGATAGCATGGTGTTTTTATCAACATTAACCCGGACCCAGGCAGCAGCGGTTCAGAAACGGGTTGAGACTGTCTCCCAGACTTTAAGGAAAAAGAACAAACAGCACCACATTCCCGATGTCAGAGACATATTTGCTCAACAGACAGAGTCAAAAGAAAAAGTAGGTTTTCTTTTTCTGTTGTTAAAGTAAAGGAGTAATTGTTTAGAATTAACTAGACTGATCCAGTTTAGTTAAATCATGAAAAATAAAATGAGCACATTATATGCCAGGCACTGAAGCTGTGTGCTGGCAGGGGCCTAGAGGGACTAGATACTTGTCCTTCTAGAAGTTAATGCTGATGGGGCAGAAAATTCAACAAGTTACAATTCAGTGTGATAATCCTTGTGTGAGGTGTCCTTGGAGGATTAGGGAGTGGCCCTACCCTACCCCTCTCACCCCCTATGAAGTGACTACCAATTGTTACTTACAGAAAAGTAGGCAGTAGGGGATTCTTTCTTATCTGGTAACTCTTGGAGGAATATTTGCTTCTTCCTAGATTTATTTGAGGATGATTGGAAGTGAGATGTGAGGGCACCAACTGCAGCTGAATTACAAAGCAGGGACCCTGAAACATGAAATGACTTCCCTTTTGTGTCTAGCCTTTAGCATGGAGCCTAGCATGTGGAAGATTGGGTTAAATATTTTTCAGGATGATTAATTTATTAGTGGAAGCTTTTGGAGTCTGGTGGGACTCATGAATGAAAAGATGTCAGGGAAGACATGGTAAAGCAAGAGATGTCATTGATTAGAATAGCACAGCTCAAAACAACCAGTTAGTGGGCTACATATTACTGGTCCATGAGGATGTAAGGAGCTTGCACAAAATGTAATAGCGTTGTTCCTTCTTCAGGAAAGTCTTACTACCAAAGAAACAAAACAACAAAAATAAACAAACAAAAAAGAGCCAAACTAAATGGTGTTCTCGGGGCTAAAGATGATTTATATTCTGGCCTGTTCTCAGAAGACACTGAATAGCTCTCGCCTAGAAAACCCAGTAGGGTGGTTGGGATGAGAGCAAACAAAAGGAATTTTGAACAATGATTGCAATAATAATAATAGCAATTATGAATGCTGCCACCACTGAACACTTAACTGTGCTAACTATGTTCCTTGCCTTATCTTATTTAATCCTTACAGCTGTCTTTTGAGTGAAGTATTACCATTTTCATCCTACAGCTGAGGCTCATTGTCTTTAAGTAAATGGCTCAGTGTTCTGTAGAGAGCAAACCCAAATTTGTCTCTTGTATGAGCTTTTAACCACTACGCATTCTGTTGTATTTGGGTTTTCATACATGATTCTGATATTTAGTAATCTGAACATGAGAGACTATTCGCACTATAAGTAAAAAATAACAAATATTTCATGACTCTGCATAAATGAGATAATGAGACAGCATATTTTTAAAGTATCTTTTGGTCATGCAGAGGTCATGCAGAGGTTTGTAGACATTTCATTCTTCTAAGAAATCCTGATTAGCTGCCGATCTCTGCTCCATTTGCATGGTCGATTGTGGATCAAATCCACTCTATTTTACAGTTTTGGGGTCACTGGATAGTTCCAAGCAGGCCTTTTGCTTACCACCCAGTGGTTATTTGGTACATCCACTGCAATTGAAGGACTGGGCTGAGTTTTCAGCTGTTAGAAAAATAAATGGTAAGGAAATCATAGTATTATGATATTTCCTTCCCAATTAAAGGAGGTAAAAGTAAGTAAAAAGGGGGTAGGGGTAGAGGACCGAGACTAAGCAAAATATCAATACACACCATGAGATTCAAGCCAGTTTCCAAGAGGATGTTTCTACTCTGTGCTAGAAGCAGGATTTTTCAGCAAATCCCTGGTAATGCCTAAACTACATGGTTTGGGTCCAAGGTAATTGGTGGATCGTATCATTAGGTAGGGTCATGAAAAGAGAAATAGCACAAGTAATTTAAAATGATGTTAACCTGCTTACACTGCATGCCTTTAACTGAAGCACCGCCACCCACATTAGAACCGCCCCTCCATCCCTCCAGCAAACATGGGCCAGCCGTCTTCACCTGCGGTTCTTCCGTTCGCAAATGAGTACATATTCAGCTCTTCCATTTCAAATGCTTCCCCCTGAAGCCCTTGCTGACACTAGGAAATATAATACAGAAATGAGTACCATCTGCACTGTCATCTTCAATTGCTAAGGAAAACACTTCCAACCACATGCTCTAAAATATGTGTTCATGGGTAAGATTAGAATCACTCACTTGTTCATTGTGCTCTGAAGGGATAGCCTTCTGTGGGCTTGTGGGCGGAGGGAGGAGTGTGCTCTCGCTTAGTCCTGTGGGGGGATTGAAGTAGTGCCATGATCCCTGCACCACGTCTGCCATTTGGTAGTCACCATCCGTTCTCCAGGGTGCTCCCAGTCTCTGAGTAGGACAGTAACAGTCTCTATATAGCTAACCCCATGCTTTTCTAGATTCTTCTTAGACTGCAGGGAGGGAGGAGTCCTTCTCAGCTCACAACTTGCGGTGAAGTATAGGGTGAGGACAACTACGAAGGCCACCTTTATTTTGTGTAGAGATGAAAGTCCAATTGAATGATATTTTTAAAAATAATTCATTCATTTAGACATCTGGGTGTGATTGATCTAGTCTTCCCTTCCTGATTGCTGAGTTCCTTCTGAAGCTTGACTTGGAAAGGAGGAAGTACTGCCTGGCCGCACTTACTGGTGAGGAGAGTCGGCAGGTTTCACCGAGTCCAATAGCCCTTGGAGGATAGCGTTCCTCAGCTGTCACTGCCCCCGCCCCTCGACAAAGGAGTTCCTTGGCATATCTGTGCTCTTCATAACTGTTTGCTAATTTAGTTTTACTTTATCTCGCATTTATCACTAGCTTTTTTAATAATTTGAAGATTTCTATTTTATTACCTGCACATCACCTTGTAGTTTTGTTTTATAATTGCCCTATTAAGAGGTAAGTCACATACCTTCCAATTCACCCATTTAAAATCTACAATTCATTGACTTTTTTTTATTGTATTCACATATTTATAACCACCTTGCCAATCAATTTTAGAACATTCCCATCATTCTCAAAAGAAAGCCTATACCCATTAGTAATCATTCCTTATATTTTCTTCTTTATCTCCTAGACAACCACTAATCTGTTTTCTGTCTTTATGATATGCCTTTTCTGGACATTTCATAGAAATGGAATCATAATATGTGGCCTTTGTGCCTGGTTCCTTTCACTTAGCATGATGTTTTCAAGGTTCATCCATGTCGTAGCATCTATTAGTACTTCATTTCATTTTATTGCCAAATAATATCCCGTTGTGTGGATAGACCATTTTGTTTATTTACTCATCTACAGATAGACATCGTTAGCTTTTGGATATGTTTGTTTTTTCCCCTCAGCTAAGTAGTGGCATCCTTGATAGCAGGGACACTCTTGACTTTTTTCATAGTCCCCATAGTGCTTAGTATTGTGTCTATCGCATTGTGAGTAATCAAGTATTTGTTGATTGTAGCCATAGTACATTTTCCCCTGCGATCGCTGTAACTCTGAATACATTTCTTATATTCTAAAATGTTCGTAAAGGAATTATTTACAACACTGTTTTTCTGGTTGTGCGTTGGAGATGACTAAATGGCCCATTTTCTATCTTTAGGCTCCAGATGGTACTGAATCGCAGTCAGTCAGAACAAATGAAAACAAATACCAAGGAAAAGATGGTATGTTGGACCTGTTCTCTTGTATTTTTCTGTTTATTAGTGTAAAAAACAGATACAGCCTTTTAAAATATTCACTTTCAATTCTAATCAGAAAATTTTACTAAAATAGTAATATAAATGACCCAATTAGATACAGTAGGCTGAGCATATGAGGTCTGTCCAGAAAATACCTAGCCATGTACTATGAAAAATAGAGACATTTTCTGAAGAAGATACAAGATATATTGTGCACAGGACAATGACACCTCAGTCCCCTTCAAAGTAGGCACCTTGGGCCCTCACACAGCTCTCCCAGTTGCCATTACCTTCCCCCTCATATTTTCCTGAATCTCATCAACGGTCTGAAATCTCTTTCCTTTCAAAGGTGATTTTGGTTTTGGGAAAATCCAGAAGTCGCAGGGCACCAGATCTGGGCTATAGCAGGGCTGAGTCACCTGAGGTATTTCATGTTTCACCCTCACTGACTAGTAGAGTGAAGCTGTTATTTTTCACACATACACATTCCAGTCCACTCTCCTTGGTTGCCAGGCTACATTGATGTGGTGCAAACTGTTCTCATTATAGTAACAATGGTTGGACTTTTTCCAGACCGATCTCCTCTAGTGAGCCTTTGATGATGATGATGATGATGGTTGATTTATGTTTGTGTATCTGTTCTAACATCTCTATGCATAGTCACTTTTCCTGATTGCTTACCATGTGCAGGCACAGTGCAGAGATGTTCACCTAATTTAATATACCCAAGAATTCAATATAGAAGGTGTTGCTCTTAAGCCATTTTACAGATGAGAGAATTGGTGAAGTCACTTTCGCAAGGCCATAGAGCTAGTAAGTGCATCCACTGGATTTGAAGCCTTGTGCTCAAATCATAAGTTCTAAATTTATAAGTAAATTACTTTTCAGAAAATTTAGAAAGACTTTAGGAGATAATATATTTTCAACAATTGGTTATCATTCTCCTTTATGTAATATAGTTTTCCTCTTCTGTATTGGTTATTTGAGAAATGGATTAGAAATTCAGGGTGTGGATGAAAACAGATATTAAGACTTTATTGGTACTCATCAAGAAAGAATTTATAGCTGTTTCATTTATTTAGAAAAAGGAAAAACAGTCTAAATTAAAGTAATAGACTTAAGCTTAAAATTTTAATTTTTGATGTGTTGCTGCTTAAAAACTATAATGAAGGTGGTCTGTGGCTGCAGGACTCTAACTTGGGGACTTGTCCTTTAGTTTATGTTCTTAAGATCAGCCACATGGAGTGTCCATGCCATTAGTATTGCTGTCTTTGTATTGGAAATAGTTGGGCAGGAGGAACAGGTAGACTTTTGAGGACTGGGAAGGGTTCCCAAACATCCTCTAAAAATCAGGAGTTAGTCCAAGATTCTCTAGAGCATTTTGGAGTCTTGGAGCATCCGGTATCTGTATTTTTTTCATTCTTCCCTCCTTTTCTGAGAACTCTCCTGCACATCTGTGTACATACGTAACTGTGTTTATACATACATACATGTCTATATTTTTATATCTATACAAGCACTTGCTTTTACTATTCTTCAGAGGTTCCTTTAATTGCATGTTTTTTTTTATCAGAGTGGAATTACTAGGTGTTTCCCAAGTCTCCATGCCAGCAAACAGTGACATGGCAAGCGAACGAGAAACGAGAACACCCAGTGCTGGCCTGCTCGAGGGCTGTGTCGTCAAGAGGCAGATGAACCTTTTGTGCCAAAGTCAATATGCTTTAGGCTTTGGGCAACAGTAACTGCCAATTGCTAAATGAATACTGAGGAAATATTGTCTTTTCTTGATGTTTTCCTCTCTTGCCAGAGATGTGTTGCAGGCTGTATAAATAGAAGTTCCAGAAGACAAGTTTATTATATGAGCACTTTCCAGCCTAGCTTGCAGCAGGCGAGCTAAGTGTGGCAAGCTTGCCGCCTGATTTACATCTGCCTTTGCTGGAGTGCTATGAAGAGCCTTCGGTTCTGATAGAGCCTCTAATCGGAATAATAAGAGAATGTGTGTAACACCATCCAGATCGCTGAGTATTTACTACTACACCTGTTCTGGGCAATGCCATGCTCTTTCGCTAGCCAGTGACTTAACCAGTGTTCTGCAGGCATTGAAAGGGCCTGAATGAAATGCATGGAAAACGGTGTCTAGAAGTTGAATGTGGAACTTTTTCTGCTCGAAATCTGAAGGCATGCATGACATAGTCTGTTGTAAATGTTTCCCCTACACTTGGGCTTTTATATATGTTCCATCAGAGATACTCACTCTAAATGAAAAAGTTACAAAGTGGTAATGTTGCAAGTGTTGTCACATTTCAAATTAATCTGCTAAGTAGTAATCTTTTCATCAAATCATATAACTCTGTTTACATCAAAGACCCAATGTTTAATACATGCATTTAGATATATTAATAATGTCCTTATAATTTTTAAAACCTTCATGTTAATAAGTATATTCTCTCTCTCTCTCTCTCTCTCTCTGATTTCTATGGAGGAAGGAAAATTATTTTTTTTAGAATAAGGGTACTTGGGCTATTTTGGACAATTGAAAAACTTAGAGGAATTTTGTAAAATATTTATAGCGCAGTGCTATGGACCACTTCAGAACCAAAGCAGAACAGATTAAAGAAATTATATTATTTACAGTTGAGGACTTCGAGAGCCAAGTTATATCCTAGCCTTCTCTTAACTTTTCTCTTTGAGAGTAGATAATTGATTCATAGATACTTTTGTCAGCCAATTAACCACCCATTTCTTGTAGCAGCACCCCATAGCACCCCTGCAACTGTTTTTCCTGCTGTCTTCTCTGATTTGATTTACCATTTGAGCTTTTATGCTTTTATGTACATTTTTTGCCACATTTTACAGAAAATGTATGCATTTAAATGTATTATATTGTAATTAGAATTTTTCTATTCAGTTTTGAAATCAGTATAGGATGTTTCCTGGGTGGGGGGTGGTATTTATTGTAACTCTAAGCTGGGGGTGTTGAAGAGAAAATGGAAATGTTTTAAAATTCTTATCCATAAACAGTCACATTCTGGAAAGATAGCTTATAATTCAAGAAAACGGCTAATCTTTTTTTCCTCTTAAAATTGTTTCCTGAGAAACCAACATACATAGTCACAGTAAAACGTCAAACAGTGTAAACCAGTGGGAAAATACAACTAAAATTGGGCTTTGTCATTGACGTTAATACTGTAAAAATTAATGGACTGAAAGTCTAGTTATTCTAATTTAAATACATATTGTCACAAGCTACTGAAGAGTATATAAAGTGGCATAGGTGAAACAGCAGATAAATACTGTCAAAGAGCTTCCAATGTATTTTTACTTTCGGAATTGATGCAGGTGAATGTTTCGTTGCTTTCTTAATTGTGAGCTGCCCCTAGGACCAGGTTTGCAATTTGCAGGGCTGAGCGCAAACTGAGAAGGTGAGACTCCTTGCTCAGACTTCAAGAAGGTAACAGCAGAGCATCAGCCCCAGCGCAGGGCCCCTCCCGTCACACAACCTGGAGCCTGTCCTGCTCACTGAAGGGAAATGAATTGGGCTAGATTTACATTTATTCTTAATTTTCTTTTGTGCAAAACAAAACTTTTTTCATTTTTAATTTTAATGACTGTATATTTTTTATACTTCTAATATGTATACATGACATATATTTATTACATTTTAAAATTAACTTTATACCTTTCATCATTATGTTATGTTAGTATATACTATGTAAATGTACCGTGTAAGTTTGTTTATTTTGTAATTCAGTTCTGCTCCCCATGAATTAAAGGTCTGCAGTGAGAAAATAATGGTCATCCTGCCATTGCTTCTGGGGTTTCTTTAAAATGTGAGTTGGGTTAAAGCCAAAAACTTATCAAACAGTAACATTTAGAATTATTTTCCTCCAAAACTTAAAGCTGGTGTTCTCAGCAGAGGTTTTCAAATATATTTTTTTTCCTGTGGAATTAACAGCAAACGAACAAACAAAATGTTGAACTTACACACTTGAAATGTTGATGTAAATATCTGGAAGTTACTTGAGTAGGTTTATAGCTATGGGACCTTTTATGGTCTTTGATAGAATCAGGTAGCAAACCTATTGATTCTTGTACCAGGTACCTTCAGAACTGCCTCCTACAGTGATAAGTTTTTGGCAGTAACTCTTGTTTTGAAATTTTTGCTATGATAGGTTGATAACATTCCAGAACGAAGAAATGCAGGGCATGGAACAGGCCTTATTCCAGGAATCTCTTCTATTCTGAGGAAATGAAATAGCATATTGCTAGTTCTAAGACAGATTACAACTAACTTAAATAAAACAACAATTAAGTCTATGCAATTTTTGTGAGGTTTTTCATTCAGAGTTTGAGATTATCCAGCAACATTTTGGAAGTGGACCCAGTCTAAGAATTGGACCTCCAAGAAAGATTCCACAATTGAACTATGGATTTCTAGTCACCACATCTCTCCCCTATGTGTTCCCCCAACCGTCCATTCCAACCACCCCCTGCCAACACACCACTGATAGGATTCCCTGAACATACGTTTCCCAAAAGTTTTTATGTAGTCAAAATTTAGATGTTAAAAAAAAAAAAAAGGAACAAAGCATGTGAATTGGGTGTTTTGCTTTTTCCCCAGACCAGGCATGTGGCCTAGTTGATGGAGAAAAGAAGCTGATCCCACTGGTGCCTGAGGAGGCACCTGCTTCTGAAACAGATATCAACCTGGAGGTGTCATTTGCGGAGCAAGCCGTCAATCAGAAGGAGAGCTCCAAGGATAGGACCCAGAAGAGCAAAGGCAACGATGCCCTGACACCTGTACGTAGTACACTATTCAGATATCACTAACCAGGCTTTATTTTTAATTAGCTTTTTATTGTGAAAACTTCACCGTAGGAAAGTTGAAAGAAGAGGATAGCAAACACCCATACAGGCTTCATGCAGATCCATTAACATTTTACAACCTATGCTTTCTCTCTTTCTACATCCACCTCCATATGTTGTGCTGTTAGATATGCACTAACATTTTTTAATTGAACAAAACTCAAATGTAATACTTAAGAAATTGAACAATAAAACAAAATTGTATTTACGTAAGATCATATTCAAATTTTCCTAGTTGTCAGATTTTCCTTTATAGCTTCTCCTTTCTCCACCTCCATCTAGGTTCAAAGATTATGTGTTGCACTTAATGTCATCTTTTTGTTTCTTTGAATCTAGAATGGGTCCCCTGCTTTTTGTTTAATATTTTTGAAGAGTCCAAATCAGATTTATGCTTTTATTCCTTTCTTTGTGATTAGATCCCAGTTAAACATTTTTGGCCAAATATTGCATATATGATGCTTATGCCTCCAACTGCATCATCAGAGGAAGGGCATGATGTCAGATGGTTCCTTTATTGGTGATGGAAGTTTGACCATGTCGTTGAGGACATGGTCCCCAGATCTCCTCATTGTAAAGATACCTTTTCCTATGTGCGATTAATATTAATTAATGATCCTTGAGACTGGGTGAATATCCTATTTGTCAGTGATAATCTCTTCCCCTGAGGTTTCACCACACACTTGTTATTCCTGCCTGAAACAATATTTAAACTGGTCTTGAGAAATAGCGATTTTCTAATTTTTTTATTTCTTTTACATTGATTCGCTGGCAATCTGCTATAATAATAGGTTTTTCTGTCTTTTCTCTGTTTATTATTGCATATCACCATGAACCAAAGGCTTCCTTTTCTCATTCGAAGTTTTATAAATCATTATTTTTTTGATGTCTTAAGTGTACCCAAATTTGACCAATAGGAGCCCTTCACGTTGGTTCCTATGTCTTTTTAACCTTCGCCCATCATTCATTTATGATTTTGCTTTGCAGTACAAAATGTTCCAGGCTTTCCATTTCTCCAGGGAGTCCTGATTACTTTTAGTAATAGATTGTATTTCAAAATGCAGCTGTATGTACTGAGTCTTCACATTGCTACTCTTATTTTTTAATAAGTGTTTATGTATTTTGTAGAATTTTGCACATGCAAGCGTTAAAAAGTAGTGTAGGTAATGAACCCTCAAGTATTCAACACTTAGCCGACATTTACTAACCCATGACTAGTCTTTACCTATCCATACTCCAAACAAGTTTCTTATTCTGTAAATACATCTCTGTATTATATTTTGTTATCTATGTTTTTCAGTATCTATTTCTAAAAGCTTAAAGATGGGTTTTTAGAAACACATCTGTATTACCACTGTGATGGTTAAAAAATGCTAACAGTTCTTAATTTCAAATATTCAGGCAGCATACAGATTTCAAATTGCATTATAAATTTCATAATTTTTAAACAGTTTGTTTGCATCAGGAATCAAATAAGATGTATGCATTGCAGTTGGTTGATATGTCTCTTAAGACTTTTTAAATCTCCTTTCCTTCTCTCTGTCCTCTGCCTCTCTCTCTCCTTCCCTCACTTCCCTCCTCTCTCCCTGCTTTTATTACATTCCCTCTTATTCCCTATTCTTTCTTTATTTCCTCCCTTTCTCTCCCTTGAAATTTATTTTTTAAAGATACCTAGTTATTAAAGTCATGGACAGTTTCCCCCCATGACTGATTTTATTCCCATTTTCTCCCATTTTCCTGTTAGTTGGTTGCCTCTAGATTTATCATATTCAAGTTCATTTGTGTGTGTGTGTGAAAACTGTTGCAAGTGTGACTGTGTATCAAGAGCACAAATGTCTGGTTGTCTTCTTTTTGTAAAATAGCAGCTCTTTCTAATCGATGCTTGCATTTACTAGTTTATTAACGATTACAAAATGATGTTCTCATTTCTTTTTTAAAATTTATTAATTTGAATAATTCTTTCAAGAAAAACATTCTCAAAGTGGTTGCTTCCTTTTCTTCACCAGTTTTCAATTTTTCTTTGTTCCCTAGTATCTTTCATTAGCAACCAATTAGTGTGGTTTTATTTTAATTTTCTTGTAAAAATAATATCTTAACTCATGGGTTTAGACACATATGATATGACATTAGAAGTTTTCCTTCTTTATCTGGCATATTTTATCCTGTAGATCCAAAGTGGTCTGTTTCAAGAAACGTTGCTTCTGTTTAGTAGAAATACACTTTTATGACTACGATCAGGACACTAGGAATATTCTTTACTCTGGGTTGGTCTTGCTTAAAGCCTTTTCAGAGGACAAAAGTCTATCTGTGTCTTCGTTCTTCCATGCTGAGAGTGGTGGTTCTTAGGGCACAGCAGATAAGAAACCTTATTAGAAGGTCAGAAAATGACTCGTTTGTTTTATCTTCCTGTAACATACAGTATTCTCAGACAACAATACTAACACTGCCATCAATAATCTGATTACCAGAAAACAGTTTAAGCTTGTTTTTCTTTAGTTGTTTGTATCCTTGGGGTGTATCTCCAAAGGAATATAACGATAAAATGACTGTGTTTTAGGTTGCTTAGGATAGTTATTCTCCATGTGGTTGAACCAGCTGCACACCTGGTTGGGTTAATTTGTTTCATTTTATTTTCAATTTTTAGGAAAGGTTTTTTGAAATTTAATTTTTTATAAGCATGTAAAATATTTACATGGTCCAAAAGTCAAATCTAAAACCAAGGTGTATTGAAAATCTGGCTTCCGTCCCTGAACCACTTATTCTCTCTTTGCCCTCACAGGTAAATTTCTTATTTTAATTTTATGGTTTATCCTTCTGTTCTTAGGTAAATATGACCCCACTATACACACTTTTCTCCACCTTGAGTTTTTTGTCTGTTTGTTTTGATTTAGTGTTATATTTTGGAGATTATGGTATAGAAAATAGTGGTATAGAGAATAGTATATAGAGAAATATTTCTCATTTCTTCTTATAAGATTCATTGTACTCCATTGTGAGAATGTTATAATTACTGTTTATTCACCAGTTTCCTAATGGTGGATATCTGGGTTTTTCCAGGCTTTATCATAGATTTTTAACAATTGACTTTAAGAATATTTATGCCCAGTGGGGAAAGTAAGGGAATATGCACCATTTGACCTAAAGACATAAATAACCACATTCCCAAACTATTCTTAGCAAAAATATCTTTTAAATGTGAAAGTCTTCATCTTAACAGATGGAAAGGGTTTAAAGTGACACATAGCAGATTCTAATTAAAGAAAATGAAGATGTTGTTGACTCTTAAGTTGTTGATTCAAATGATGAAATAAATTAATCTTCACTTGATAGACTTAAAAACAAAACTTCCCCTATCATTTTTTTCTCCACTTAATACACTAATTTGTGCTCCCAGATCCTTTGCTTTTTTATTCATGTAGTGCCCAAAGCTTAAAATGACCTTCCCTTTTCTATGCTGTTCCATGTTTACCAAGGAAACTGTAGCCAATTCTTTGCAGTCTAGCTCAGCATTTGACTTTATTGTTATAGTCTTTCCTGACTGACCTTACATTAGATAAAATATGTAAATATCTGTCTCTGAAATTATTAGATGCTATGCTTTTGATAATCATTGCCAATTGATCCATGTATTTATTTATGCACGTATGCATCCGTTCATCTCTACCATTCATTTATCCACATGTCCTCTAGAAGGCATGGACATGTAAGCTTTCCACCTCTCCTCAGCATGGTTGATGAAATAAACACTTATATTCACCACTCTGAGGCAGGTGTGTAAGCAGAGAAAAGCTTAAATTCCATTTCTACCCCATGTTCCTCTGCTTCTGTAAGCAAGCAGTCAGCTTCATGTAATACATTGTTCCCTGCTGACCTCCTTTTATATTTACTTTCTTTTTCTTACAGCATCAGGTAGTCTTTGTTAATTCTTTATGATGTCACAGTAGATTCAAATATCTCCTCTCAAATTTGGGTATCATGTTTTATAACCTTTAATGTGCTTTAGATTGAAAATTTAGCTACTATTAATTGTGTCATTGTTTACCCACTATATCCCAGAAAGTATGCTCTGTAACTATTTCATTTATTATCATATGATCTCTATGAGACAGATACTCTGATTCTCGTTATTCATACAAGGCAATGGGTTGGAGAGATTACGTGACATGCCAAGGCTTGGTTTCAGTGACTAAGCCTTTCCTGGAAGACAGTGTTGGCTCCATTTAATGTGCCCTAAAGGTATATATGCATTTAAGTGTGAGTTTGTGCCCTTTTTAAAAAAACATTTATTTTAAAAAATTTTCAGTTAGTTTCCTTTTGCAACAGCATGGATGAAACTAGAGGACATTATGCTAAGTGATATAAATCGGTCAGAGAAAAACAAATACCATATGGTTTTACTTGTACGTCGAATCCAAAGAATAAAGTAAACAAACAAAAAAATTAAAATAGACTCATAGATACAGAGAACAGATTGATGTTTGGCAGAGGGCGGGGGAGCGGGTGGTAATGGGTGAAAAAGGTTGAAGGGTTTAAGAAGTACAAAGTGGTAGTTACAGAATAGTGATGGGGATGCAAAGTATAGTGTAGGGAATATAGCCAATAATAATATAATAGCTATGTATGGTGCCAGTTGGGTACTGGAACTATCGGGGGGGACACTTTGTGTTATTTTATTGACGTTACAGACAACTTGTTTAGGATAGCTTAGAATGTTAGGTAAGTAAGATTCTGGTTTCCTGGGTCTGCCATATAAAATAGAAATTTAATATTGTTCCTTCATTCTCTCTTGGAGACTAAAAACATTATGGATTTATTTAGGAATTTTCAAGGTCATAGCTTTGAAATGATCTTTAAGATAACTATTTGTATTCTAACATGCAAGTCTATATTTTAGTTCTTAGGTTCTTTTTCACCATGTCTTTTGGACTCCTATTGAATTATGTTCAATTCAAGTAAACTCACATTTTATAACAACTTTGGTTGTCTGGCAACGCAACTCTGTGCATACTGAAGGCCAGAAAGTAGACGTGGAGGCCCGAGTTGAGAATTTGCTAGAGAATGAAACAACTCTGGAGGACAATGAAGGACAGTGGAAGAAACAGTGTAGGATTGAGTTAGGAAACTGAATATCTAAGGCAGCCACAGACTTGTACACAATATAAAAATTAAGTGTTGAAGGTCATGATCCTGAATTGTCAAGAACAGGTTAAATTATGCCTGTTGGTCCCGAAAAAAAATACAAAAATATTTTTTAAAAAAACTGCAAATTTGAAAGATTCCTAGACGTTCACTTTTCTAGAAAAGTATTCATTTTCTTGACATTACAATGAATGAAGTACTATAATACAATGACATTTTACACAGGAAAAAAATCTTAGGTAAGAAATGAATCTCTTAACGGAAGATATAAAAAAGTCATTGTGTGGCAATTGACCCACTGTGAGTAGATTCCCTTGCTTTCCAAGTTGAAATTCAAGTGACCTGATGAGTAAGAGAGTCAGCTGCCTCATAACTAATGAGATGCCTAAGGGACCCCTCGTATTACAAGGCTTACAAAAGAAGGATGCACTGTCAAAGAGCTATCTGATGAATTTAGGGTAACACATGAAAACTGAAGACCTTATATTTTTTTAAAAAATTGTATTTCCCTCTTTTCTTCAAGCACATTTTTCAAAACATAAAGAGCTTTCCTTCGCTAAAACTGCACTGCCTTCTCTTAGCCAACAAACTGAACCATCCAGTCTGTTAACTAAACAAAATGACAGGAAGCTTCATAAATATTTAATGCTTCTATGAATTAAACATTGGGATAAAAAAAAAAACCCAACCCTAAGTCCTTTCATTAAGCGCAATGTTAAATAAATAAATAAATAAAGCTCATGACATATATTGCTAGGCAAATCAAATGTTTGAACTAATATTTTAGGTTTCTTTAAACATTTACCTCAGATAATGCTTTGAATAATTATATTACATGTGTTTGGCTTATTAGACCAAAAGCAACTGATATTGATGAAACATTTAGGACTCTTTTTTTAAAAAAAGTAAATGGTTGTTAAATAGGATGAGGTCCAGTTCTTCAGAAACAGAGCACTTAAGCAGAACTCTGGGTCCAAGCCTGAGGAAAATGTGAAGAGTTTTGGGTAATTTTAAAGGTGAAGCTCAAACAAATCTCAGGAAACGAGGTGGCAGTAAGCCGATGGTCCTGGCCCTCTCTGAGTTTGATTCTGTGCTTTCTCCCTGAGGGTATGTACCTTCATTCACTGAGGAAACCGGGACTCGGCACCTGCTGTGTGCCAGGCCTCTGCTTCGGGAGCGTCACAGGGCTGAGTGGGCCGTGACTCCTCTCCTTGAGGGCCTCGCACCCCTCTGTCGACACCAACCAACCTAGATTCTTTCCTACATGCTCTGGTGGATGCAAAAGTAGAGCAGAACAGCATGATTACTGAACTTAGAATTTAGAAGATCTGAATTTATATCCTTATTATGTCACTGGCTGCTATTTAAGTTTCTTTACTGAGCTTGTTTCCCCACTTAGAATATGCTGTAATAATACTTATCATATGGGGACTTTTGCAGCATAGACTGAGAAATCATTTATCAAATTATCAGTACTATCATTTTTTCTTACCTTCCAGTAATATTTAGGAGAAAAGGAAAACCATGAAATCTTGAAATTATTGAAAAAGTTGTGTGGGGGGGAAAAAAAGGAGTAATAATACTTTTTGAGAGCTTAGGATTTACCATTTGATCCCTACCACAACCTTATAACATAGGTTCTACTATTATTCCCATTTTATAGATGAAGTGGCTGAGACACAGAGGTCATGTAATTTGCCAAAGGTCACATAGGTAGTAAGTGACGGAGCCAAGATTTGCCACCAGTAGTTTGCTGCACATTCTCAACCCCTTCGCACTGCACTGGGGAGGCCACTAACCCTCAGGCTGGAAATTCACTTAGGATCTGTATTCAATCGTGTCTGTTGCTGCTCTATTTAACATTCTCATAGGAAAAACAATTGTGTTACAAAAAGTTCAGAAATAACCTCTTTCTTCTATAGTGGACTTAAAGGTTTTTTCTTGGTGTTGAGTTTGCTTGAAAAAAATTAGCTACTCAATTAATGAAAGTGGTGGGTTTTAGGAAGTACTCTAGGGCAGCGACTCTCAATCATTTTGGTCTTATAACCCTGTTAAGCTCTTAAAAATTATTGAGGACCTCAACAAGCTTTGTTTTATCAGTCAGGAAGGACGCTGGTGTTGAGAATACCTACCATGGTTTCCGGCGCTTTGATGAAATCTCCGATGTGTGGCCTTTTGGCCAGGTGTCTCCAAATTCATATTGTAAGAGCATGGGCTGTCTCCCTGGAGCTTGCTGCTCTCTAAGGTTGCTGTGACTTAACCAAGAAAGAAGGCATATGAAGATTTTTACAGAAATTGAGTCCATGAAAGATTTTGAGGAGGAAACAAGGCTGGTTCAAAGTGATTTTGGAATGTAGAGAATTTCTTTGGATAGAGTTCCATGAAAGTTTGTCACTGACCTGGGGTTCCTGAACTATGAAACATGAATATATAGGCAAAGAGCTAGTTCTCTTGATAAATAAACAATTAAAAAATGGGAGGGGGACTTTCATTTATGTCAGTTATACCTATAGATATTGACCAGTTTAGAAAATAAAATTGAGAAATTTTAAAAATATTATTCCATTTAAAATACAATATTACAGTTAACATATTTATTAAAAATGGCCATATTTATAAAAAAAATTATTAGGAAATGTGGCATGGTTTCACGTTTTTAGGAAGCTTCTCATATCTACATTTGCATTTTCAGTTGCAATAGCACAGATGTTGTACCTCTGGAAGACTCAACTGTACAATCTCGGGAGGAGCAGAGTGAAAAGGCAAATAGTGTCTTAATATTGATTCTTAAAATAGTTTTGACCTCTTGTACTCCTTGAAAGGGTATTGGGTTCCCCCAAAGTTCCTTGGATTACACTTTGAGAACTGCTGCTTTAGGACATGTCTTTTGCAATAGTTTTTAGATTATGAAGTATTAACGATATGGAGCAAAAATGAGCAAAACAAAGCAAATAAAAAGAAATCAGTTGAACATCCTTGGCCATTAAATTAGGAAGTCAAGGATAAACTCAAAAGATATAACCTTGATAAAATTCTTAACAAACTGAGAATAGTTATAGTTTTAGTAATCAGTAAATACAGTGGGACTGTAACTTGTATTAAACATTTGTTTTCTTATATTTAAGGTATTTAATATTAAAAGAAGAAGAGTAGGTAGTAGATAATATTTGAGAAAGGCAAGAAACACCAAAAACACCACTTATCTGCCTGTGGTAGCAATATCTCCAAGTCTCAGTTCACGTATTCAGTGGTGAAAGTAGTAATAATAGCAACCACATTAAAGTGCTTGGGAAATGCCAGGCAATTAAACCTCACAACAGCCCTCTGAATTAGGTGGTTTTCTTCCCCTCCCTGCCCCCATCCTTCCTCCCCCTTTCCTTCCTCCATTCTTCCCTCCTCCCCCCATTCTCCTCCTCCCATTTTGCAGAAATAATGGTTAATTTAAGCAATTGCCAGACATCACACAGCTTAGTCAGTGGCCAGATGACTGGTAGGCGGTCTGGCTCTTAAGTTCATGCTCTTAAGTCTCCCATCTGCTGCTCTTCCTTTACGCCATACTATACAGCCCTCTGTATCTACTATATTTGGGGTTTAATGACAATATTGCTATATTATATTATAATGTTATATATTATGTACATGGTACTGAATAATAATGTAGATAAAGGAAACCTGGTCCATTGTGAATACTCACTCATAGCTATAATTCCTTTTTCTCCTTTTTCTCTTTCACTTTTCCTCCCTCTTCCTCCTCCTCATGGTTTGTGCTGGACTCCTAATCCTCCCTGGCTCTTGAAGGTCAGTTAACTAGAGTTCTTTTTCTCCTGTGGTTTACTGTGTCTTTTCTCCTCTTAGCCACTGGTATGAGTACTCTCAGTACATGGTCTGGTTCCATTGTTTGTCAGACTTCAGAGACTGACTCCTGAACTCCCCGCTGTCGGGGGAGCATCACTGGGACAGTCTCTCTCTTTATTCTGACTGGAGAAATTGTGCCATGACTTTTGTTGTCACTAGTCTGTACTTACGATTTTCTCTCTCATTAAGAAAAGGTTAAATACTGTACACCTTTACTGTGTTAATGGTATTTATTTTAGAGTTTCAGAGTGCCAAAAGACAAAACAGGCACCACCAGGATTGGCGACCTAGCGCCCCAGGACATGAAGAAGGTTTGCTATTTAGCCCTAATTGAACTGACGGCCCTCTATGATGTACTGGGTGTTGAACTGAAACAACAAAAAGCTGTGAAAATTAAAACAAAAGGTAAGTCGACAGGAAAAACAGTTGGATTTACTTCTAAAATAGTAAGGAGGAGCTTGGCCATTAAATTAGGAAGTCAAGGATAAACCCAAAAGATATAACCTTGATAAAGTTCTTAACAAACTGAGAATAGTTATTGTTTTAGTAATCAGTAAATATAGTGGGACTGTAACTTGTATTAAACATTTGTTTTAACAGTATTTTTAGGGGCAAATCATCTACAAGAACAAACACTACAATACACCTAAAGTTTAGATTCTAAAATGTTGCCTTCAGAAACTTTGTACCTTGATAAAAAGGCACATAGTATCTCGATAAAAAGGCATTGAAGAAAATAAAGACATGATCAAATATTAAATTACCATAGAGGGAAATTAGAAGGAAATTCTGAATCAAGGAATCTTAACTCACATGCTCTCTCCTTTAAAACTGTACCTTAAAAATAATGCATTTGTTACATATATTTATTTATTTCCAAAATGAGATCTTGAAAAATGGTTGATTCTGATCAATTACTTTTGCTTATTTATTTGAGGGGAAGTACATAGGGTAGTTAGTCGTCTTTTTGTTCATTAACATTCTACTTCTAAATATTTTGCAAACACATTCTTCACTCTTTTAATAAAATAATGCCATTGTGGCACATAACATCGCTAAATTGTATTCATCATGTATATGTGTAGTTTTTCTTTTGTAAGCAGCTTTACTCATTTTATAAAGTTATTATATATTTTTTATAATGTAATAGAGAACAGACAGCTTCTCTGTTTTTATTTTTCCAAGATATTATTGGTCTGGAAATCCAGATAATTCTTTCTGTTGTCAAAGCTTTACTGTGTAAGAATTTCAGACCTCTTGCTCAACCTTAACGGTATCTCCTAAGGAGAAACCAAGAAAGGATGAGGATTATTGAGTTGCTATGGTAACATAAGCAAAGACAGGTATTCACCTGATGTAAGTTTTAGAGGCAGCGTCTCTGTAGGGCTGACTGGTGCCTTCCCTTCAGGCCCTCCTCCATGCTGGGCCCCAAAAGACCGCATTTCATGCTCAGTTCCTTTGAGTATCTTAGCTTAAAGCTTGGGCATGTGAATTCCTGAGTTAAATGATGCTTCCAGTTTTCCGCAAGTCCGTTGTGGTTAATGAAGACATCATATGTTTATTTAGAAGTTTATCACAAAGCCTTCGCTGCATATAAAACAAAAATATAATTGAAATAACTGTGCTTATGACTTTAAAAGTGGCTTGAAGAGGTGTTTGTTATGTTTTAGAATTGCATCCTAGCACTATTAAGCCAATATTAAGAGGAATATTGTCATTGTTATTAAGAATATCACTATTAATAGGTTTTCTTTCCATCTTTTTAAGTATTTTTATATCTTATCTAAGCTATTTAGCTTCTAAACTAGACTCAAATATTTAGAAGATTACATTGTTTTCTTAATTTTTAAACTACAAGTTCTTCCCTGGATTGCTGGCATTCCCTTGAACGGCATCTCTCCCGAGTGTCATAATGTGCAATGCTTGGGCGCGTGCCGTGAAGCTCATCCCCTTTCCATGTTCACAAGTCCATGTTCACGAATGATTTCTCTCCCCCCCAGATGATGTGTGCCGCACCTTGGTGCTTGCTCTTCTCTCAGTCATGGGGGTGGGATGGGCGGCGCTGGGTACAGGCTGTGCTCATGCCAGACTGAAGGCTTATGATTTTAGTTTAGACAAGTTAACAATTAGTGTCTGTCCATCTTTCTGGAGTTATTCCCAAATATATAAAACTACACATTTAATTCAAGAATACTAAATATCTACTGTGTTTTCTAAAGAAAAACTTTTTTAGAACAAGATCATAATGTTGGCTGATTTCTTAAAAGGCATTTATTAATATTGTGCTGTATTGTAGAATGTTAAATCTCAATTATGTGTGTAAGAGATAAGTGATATTTATTTGAAGCCAAAACTTTTACTTTGACTACATTTAGCAAATTTTTGCATATTTATGTACTCCCACAGTACTCTTATTTCTCTTACATATCAGTTTATACTTTTCTAGTTATTTCAGGGAGATTATTTGCAATTTTTTGTCCTGTGATCTCTCTACTAGATGGCTCTATAAGGCGAGGCCAAAACTTTCCTATTGGGGCGTATATGCCTAATGACTAGACATTGTCGTTCACTTGCTTGGTGCTCAAGAATCAGTCTGATAGAATGACAATATCTGAAATCCTGTGCCTGTATATTTTGCATTAATATTTTATGGGTTGATGGAAATGAAGAAATTTTATTTTACTTTTTATTGCAGATTCTGGCCTTTTTTGTGTTCCATTAACAGTATTGTTAGAACTTGATCAGAGGAAAGTACCAGGAACTCGAATACCCTTGATATTTCAAAAAGTAAGTGGCCCGAATGGGTCAGCATGGAGAGAACACACTTCAACTGATAGTGTTTTTATTTTTAGTTTTGCATTCATATTATTATAATATTGTTTTCCAATTGATATGCTCTTTTATTTTGTACTTTGATTTTCTATTCAGGAAACAAATTCATTTCAAGAGCTCATAATTTTTATTTCATGGTGATGCTTTCTGTGTTATTACTGTACCTGTGATTACCTGGCATCATTTTCCTGTCTTCTATTAGCTGGCTTTGTGTAATTGAGATTTCAATTCCATAATACATAGAAATGGAAACTGCTTATAAATTTCTAGGGAATTGAATCCTCATGAATATTTCATGCCTGTGTGTATTTCCCAAGCTTTCTTATTTACAGTGAGGATGTCCAATTTAATTTACCAATGTCTACTTCCAAACTAGGCAAAGGAACCATAAAGTAGAATCAGAAAATGATTGCTAAACTGTCAAAGTACTTGTGTAGTCAACACTCAATTATTCATAAGGGCATTATCTATAGCAGTATAAGAATTTCAGTCTAACCTCTGAGCCATCATTGTTCAGAAACACAGATTACATATGATAAAAGCCAGGGAATGTACAATGAGGAAGGCAGGTCAAATCAGTTACAGACAACCCCGCGCTTTAGATTCTTTGCAACACCTGAGGCATATCACAGTTTCAGGAAGTTCTGGCAACAGCAAGAGTGGCAATGGAAACTTTCACAATTGATTGACTCAATGTACTCATCGATACTAAAACTCAATCTACTTTGTACTTATCCTTCTTGGCACTTATTCTACCGAGCCCCTATCTGGTATTCAAGTCAGGTGTTTACCTGTGTTACCTACTAAGCTCTGATTCCTTTATTCTTCATGTTCTCTTTTACATCCAAACCTGTTTCTCCTGATGAATGTTACTCTACAAAGTTAATCCTACTCATTATCCTGTTAGCCACTGCTAGTAGACCTTGTATCTGTTTGAGTAGTTGTCAACAGTGCCAGTGATTAACAGAGGTGCTAACAAGTATAGACCATCTATTCAAATTCTTTTAATGTTAATAAAGTATGCCAGTTGCTCTACACAGATGACTGTACAAAGAAGCAAGGATCTTAGCACCATCCCTTCTAAAAATTTATATATATATATATATATATATGAATATATATGAGAGAGAGTTATTTTTAAAAATTGGCTTCTGCAAGTGTAAGGGCTGGCAATTCTGAAATATGTAGAGCAGGCCAGCAAACTGGAAACTTGTGCGGGACCTGATGTTGCAGCCTTGAATCCAAAGACTGCCCATTGAAACGTCCGGCAGGGTTCCTGTATTGCTGTCTTGAAGCAGAAATGCTTTTACTGAGGTCTTTGCTCTTATGGCCTTCAGGGGACGACACGACACCCATTCACGTTACGGAGAGTAAACTGTTTTCCTCAAGACTCTACTGATTTAAATGTTAGTTACAGGGAAAAAACACACACACACACAACAAAACCTCAGAGGAACATCTAGACTAGTGCTTTACCAAACAACTGGGCACGGTAACCAAGCTGACACATCAAATTCATCATCATAGCCATGAAGGCTAAAGTTCATTCCCCAAGAAACATTCAGTGATACCTCCTGACCAGGTTCAGGATTACATTCAATCCCAAGTCATTTTCTCTTGAAATTGTTTTCTTGTTTTTCTTGTGTATTTAATTATTTGACATTTATGGTTTCTTCTGGAGACTCTGGCTGCTCACCAGTTTGAAGTTATTAGATAACAGCCCTCAAGTGTTTTGGTTCATTTTAAAAATAAAAGGACATACAAAGAAATTACTATTAGATAAACACTTATCTGTTTGTATCCTCCCTGAATTATAAACACAAAAAAAAATCACAGTGGTTTTTCATGAAAAATATTGTTTGACTGTGAAAAGATTCAGTAGTAGTCTTTAGAGGATTGTATTTTCTCAATTAAGATGTATACACAAAAAGAGCTTTAACAAAGCTTATCTGTGATCTATATCTTTTTTAAATCCTCAGAGGCATGTTGTTTGGATCATATTTTCAGAAAGATTTTGGGAAATAGAAATATTCTTAATTTTTATCTATGAAAATATTCTGCCTAATAGCAAATTCTTTTCTTGCTGTCAAACTAATCATCCAAATCAAACATACCTTGAGTGAAAAAGTCTGACTTCATTTTCAATTTGATTTTTTAATCTATATAAGTTTGTTGTATGTATTTTGCGAAGTTCTATGAAAATTGCTGATAAATTAAAGAATGTATCCTAAAAAATAAATTACTAAAAGCATCATGATTAAAACATATAGATCAATATGGTTGTTTTTCATGTCTCTATTTTGTCTTGGAAATGAAAGAGAAGATGTAAAGTATTGTTATATTTTAATAGTGCAATACAATGTGGGAGCTAAAAATATGTTATCTTCAAAGTAAAAAATATGAGAAAACTCATGACATTCCTTCAGACAATATACATGTATACATACCTCAATTCAGTGCTAGTATTCAGCTTTAGAGAATGATGGAAAAAGACTCAAATATAAAAATTCAGAAATTACTTTTATTCAGTTATTTAGAAATCATGGTCAATTTTTCCTTTGTATTTAATGAAAGCAAAGGCTTATGCTGCTAAAAACTAATTTGCTCCAGCAGCTAGCATGTAATTTTATCTTTTGTTAATAGAACATTTTAAACATTTTGTAAGATTAAATAAAGTGAAAATTGCTTATACATTGAATAACTTTTGCATGGTATTATTTGATAAATTTGGTTTTAAATACTTTATTGAATAATGCCCATCTAATGTAAAATTATTATGTAAATTATTTTGATGTGGATTTTTATCCAGTGTAATTTGAAAACCAGGGTCTTGGAAAATATTTCAGTCAAATTTTAAGAAATCATGTACTGCATTGACTGGGTGGTTATAGATTCTTTGCTTTTCAGCTAATAATAAATCCTTGGGAAAATTTTGAAACTACCCTTTGCTTTATCCTTACCTGACTCTCTCAAGGTTAGTTCATTTTTTGGCCATAATCCAGGGATAGAAGAGGTGAAGTCATTAAAGAAAAATTTCCATCTCGTCCAGTGTCTACACACTATTCAATGCAGCTAGTTTCAGAACATCTAGGCAAAGGTGAAAAGGCCTCATTTATGATGCTATGCTTTGCTCCTAAGACTTTTATAACTAAGGGGAAAACTGAGCTTTACGTAGTTTATAGAGCCTTGGTTAATCATTAAAAGAGGTTTCTTTGAAGAAAAAAAAAGGAATTACAATTTTAGATTCTTGGCATTCTGGAAGATTTTATGCCTTAGGGTGTTCAGAGAGTATTACTGAAGGATTAGTGACGAGTGAGGAATATGTCTGTCTTTTATAAAGTAGAAGAAGGCTATTGTGGAAGGAGGGCGAGTGGTAGGAAGGAACACCTACATGAAGCTAGTTAAGTGCCTTATATTGAAACTGAGGGACATGGAAATTGATCTCCTTAAAATAGCAGAGTGCCCCCTATAAAGCCTTCATCGACTGCCTAGGGAGTACATTTTACAATTGGACGATCACTCTGCTGAGAAACGAACCACTCTTTTACCATCTTCCTAGCTTCTAACCTATGCCATTGCAGTGTGTTCATTTGCCTTATTCTTGTGGATTTCTGCTTTATTTAAAAAAAAATTAAACCTTTGTTATTTTAATAGAGTTCTTGAGGTAGAAAGATCTGTATGCATTAATAGGGCATTGGGTATGATTTAGAAGCCTTATACAAGAATTGTTTTTTATTTACATTTACCTCCAAAGCTTGCTTAAATGCTTAAAAATGAGTATTGGTAAAGGTTTTGTTCTGTTTTTTTTTTTTTGCTTTAATATCATAAACAATTCTTTCTTTGAACAAACTAAAAATTAGATGTAAGTGTGCAAGTACTAGAATTTCATAAGATTTATTTGTGGAGTGGTATGTTTTGGGAACAGCAAAAGAAATGGATGGTTTTAGTTGCTTTTAAACAATGAACATTTTTAGTTTCTGTTTGTTTGGAGTTCCACAGCTGCTGTGTGAAATTATATACTTCTGTTACAAAGGAGAATGAGACCCAACTTTTTCTAAATTCTGAATTATAACTAAAGTTTTGGCATTTACTGGTTAAAGCATAGTGGGAGTGCAGTTGCATTCAAAATTTATAAAATCCAGTTTACGTGTCATTGTAATCAGTTTTCATTGATTTGTATGTGAAACAGATGTTAAATTTGGAATTGTACCTGTTAACAAATACCAAAATCAGAATGTCCTTTTGTTTATACAGCTAATTTCTCGAATTGAAGAGGGCGGTTTGGAAACTGAAGGCCTCTTAAGAATACCTGGAGCTGCTGTTAGAATCAAGGTAATCTCTTGGTTCTGCTAATATAAAACTTTGTTGTTTGATTGTACTTTTGCATTTAAAAAGCTAACTTGCCCTCCCGCTCCCTTTTTCCATTGTTAGTGGATTAAATTTAGCAATAAAACCTCTTGACATTCAGTTTATATTTAGTTTTTCTGTAGTCTCTTCTAATTTGTATGACGTTTTGATTTTTTTGAAAATCACATTACCTCTCATAATACCATGATAAACAAAGGGGCAGATAATCTATGCAAACATAATGCAGGAACAAAAATCAACAGGCAAAAGACACGCGTAGTTTCATCGTTCTAATGAGAAGAGAACATGATGAGTCAAAATATTAATAGGGGGCTGGTGATAGATTTAGTCAGCACGAATAACAGCAGTTGAGTTTTTTAAAAAAGGTAGGATGATAAACTCCGTCAGGTGAGCAGAGGAGGAGACTTGACATAATTAGTTTCAGTGAGCTGCCAAATGGAGACTCTGTCTCACTCACTTTCCTGACTTTCACAGTTCCCTGTCTCGCTGGATTCAAGGTAGCCTGAGTCTGGTTTGTGAAAGAGGTCATTCCCAGCGGTCCTCGTTGGAGCCCCGCTTTCTCCCCTCCCCTGCTCTCTTTTCTCTCAATAGGCGTTTCCTTCCCACTATCCTGGGGCACCGTGTATCCTCCCCCTTTCTCTCTGCTGTCCAGCTCCTGGTCCGGGGAATAAAGCATCCAATGAGTGCATGGCCAAGGTGCAACTCCCACAGATGATGCATAATTCGCGCGTCTCTCAGGGAGCTGGCACTTTATGGAGCCTCTTACCTGGCGATGTAGCTTTGCCTGGAAACTTCATCCAGGGAAGTTTTGGGTTAGCAGTCGGGAACAATCTTCGTTACATTTTCTTCCAAATTCAGCTGTAGCTCTAAACTGAGAGAGTACAAGTCACTGCCCACATCCTGTATATTGTCTTCCTGAATTTGCAAATCTCAAGAGAAAGTGGGATAGGAGGAAGAGATTTTCTCTTTGTTTCCTTCAGACCTGTCCCATCTGACATCTTTAGAGCCGGATCAGAAAGAAATGACTCTTGGTGGGTGCCTGCTCTCCCTGCCTGGGACTGTGGCTGTGGCGCTGCCAGGAGTGGAATTGCTATTCCTACGTTCCACATTTTTATCACCTGCTTATTTTGATAAGCGTCCTCAATATAGGAGGCTAGTTTCGGCCTGCTTGGCTCTTGCTGCATCGTGATCTCAGTTTAATCGGATTCAAGTAACCTGATATATCCTGCTCACAAATTTCATTCAGCCCATGTCCCCTGGGCTTGGTGTCTGGTGCACAGAGGTCCTGAATCCGTGCTGGTGCTCTGTAAGTTTGATCGGTTGCCATTGTCTCCACTCGTTTGCAAACACCTACAGCAATTTCACCACCAGTCAGTCGTGGACATGGTGTGTGATTCTGAGATAAGTTCTGCCGAGGAGTATTTCTCGTGCAGAGAAAGACTCAGAAACAGGGAATGTGACTTCCTATTACCCCTATCAGCAAGAAGACTGCTTCTCAGTTCACTGTTCACAGCATTTATTAGCAGAATGTAACGGCCAACTCGCAAGTCATAAACACATTTACTTAAGTACACAATAGCAAATATAGAGTGTATTTTATAACTATTTTGATCGGATTGCTGGTAGAAGGATGAGTTCAACTAAATGTGGTTCCTAAGACAGGTCAATTAAGTGAATTCAGCTGGCTCTACTCTTCCACTCAGCCTGTTGTCACATACCAAATTATGCAGTAGTTGGTCCACTGTAAATAAAGATACTATGCAAAATTTTGGGTTGTCCTTCTCCCCTGCCCCACCAAATTTCTTATACCCTTGTCTCCTCCCATTTCTCCCCCCTCCCTCCTCCCTTCTTTCACCCTTTTCTCCCCCCACCTCCCTTTCTCCCACTCCCCAGTTTTAGGTTTACCTTTATGTATTCGCCAATTATAGAAATAATTGGGGAAGAGAAGGGAGTTGAATTGGAAAGAGCAAGTGTAATAAATTTACCTTATAAAAAGAACAAAGAACATTAATGTAGGATAACAGTTTTAAATAATAAAAGAAAGTGACAGGGACTTGGAAGGATTTCTAACATAATAGGATTTACACCTCAGTAAGAAAGCATATAGGAAACAGTAATTGTGAAACTAAATTGATTTATTACTAATAATTTGTCTGGCAAATCTTGTAGAGTCCTTGAGGTAAATGAACTAGGAATCCCTCATTCTACAGGGATCAAACCGTTTTCTGCAGCTGACAGCAGGGTGGCTGGGACTTAGGGCTCGTGCATTGAAGACAGGTGTATTGATGTATTTTCAGGCCTCATTAGCTACAGAGTTTGGCTTTTCCATCTCCCAGAGGTGACTAATCACAGGTAGCCTCCTGCTTCGGGCCCAGAGATGGATTATGTATTTTGTTGCGGAATGTACTTCTAAATAATTTAAAACATAGACTGTTTTTTAATGATTCTCTTAATTTGATAAAAAAGGATAGCGTCTGAATAGACCCCTTAATGCAAAGATGATTTTAACTAATCTTTCAGTGAAAGCTTTACTGTTGAAGGTTTAATTTGTGTCCAGCAAAATATGTAACGTTTCTGGGCTTTTTGGCCTTAGGTGCCATTTTCACTTGGTGAAGCACTCTGAGGGTAAGGGAGTAGTACTCCTCTGAGTGACAGAGAAGTATTGGCCTTTAGTACCCTCAGATGTCTTTCTAAAGAGTAGAATCACTTGTAAAGTGGGAAGCGGATCACATTCTCAGGAGGATAAAAAAGAATGCACTTACTGGTAGCCTTTTTATTTTTCTTCTGCTTTTCAGAATCTTTGCCAAGAACTAGAAGCAAAGTTTTATGAAGGGACTTTTAATTGGGAAAGTGTCAAGCAGCACGACGCGGCCAGCCTGCTGAAGCTCTTCATCCGGGAGCTGCCCCAGCCGCTGCTCAGCGTGGAGTACCTCCACGCCTTCCAGGCTGTCCGCGGTACGTGCCGTCCCTCTTTGAGGCAACCTTTGTACTTCTGCCATCCCTAGGAATTGTTTTAACAACACTTTACATCATAAGGAATATTACCAGATATATTTGGATATGCGAATTGCCTCACTGATGTCAACACCTTTCCCTTTTCCTTTGTAAATACACATCTCCGAGTAAATAGAAAACAGAATGTTCTCTTTGGGTACAAATTAATTACATGCCCTTTAAGCAGTACAATATATTTTCACGTTAAAACTTGGAAACTTCACATTTCTCTTATAGTAGAATGAGTCACGTCAGATCTCTGATACAGTTTTCTTGCCAAGTGTTAAAAGCAACATTTACTGGAGAAGCTGTGGATTAACAGTTATCATAAAAGCACGAGGAGATGTGGCAGAGTCTGTGGTTATTTTCTGAAAAATTAACTTTCTGAGATGGTCATGCAGAAGCATGGAACAAATCATGTGACTGCCTCATTGGCGGAGGGCAACAGAGCTCTTAAATCTTGCCATTTTGTGCTCTTGGGCAAGCGCCAAATTAATGTTTCGGATAGCTCTCAATTCCTTTCTAGTGAACACAGAGATCTTATGAGATTTATATACTGGCATAATTATGCCTTGTAGTCCACAGAGGCCAACAGAAAAGGAAAGATGTCACATTCTGGTGACCATATGTCTCACTTCCAACTTGGGACATGTTTGAGAATACAAAGGGGCCCCTATTAATGATGATGGTGAGCTACAGTGTTAACCAGAACTATTCCAGGTATTCTTTTTTAAAATTTTATTGAAGTATAACTGATGTACAATACCATATTAGTTTTAGGTGTACAACGTAATGATTCACTATTTGTATATATTGTGAAAGGTCACTGTACATCTAATCATGCATCACCATACATAATTATGGACATTTTTTTCTTGCGATGAGAACTTTTTACGTCTATTCTTTTATTATTGTCCAAATATGCAATGTGGCAAATATGCATTTATTAGCTTTAGTCACCATGCTATCTGTATATTACATCCCCATGATTTATTTATGCTCTGACTAGAAGTTTGTACCTTTTGGACCTTCACTCACTTGCCCCTGCCCCAACAAAACACCGCCCACCTATCTTTGGTATCTATGAGCTTGGCTTCCCCCCCCCGAATAGATTCCACATATAAGACAAATCATATGTTATGTGTCTTTCTCTGTCTGACTTATTTCACTTAGCCTAATTCCATCAAGGTCCATCTGTGGTGTTGCAAATGATAAGATGTCAGTTTTTAAAAATGACTGAATAATATTCCATGTGTTCCAAGCTATTCTTAAAGCATGTAATATTGAGATGATTCCCATGGGTCATAGCATAACATTTCTTCAGAACTTCTAGGGCAGACATGACTGAAATCCTCTTCTGCTTAAAATATTTTTTAATGGTTAAGTTAGGCTGTTTTACACACATCCTTTGGATATAGATTAAAGTACCAAATTTATCCCTGAAAAACAAATGCCAGAATGACTCCAAATATCCATAAGTGTTAAATGGGATATAGGCTACCAAAAATGATAAACGGTAAATACCTCCCTAACTCTTTCATTGATGGTTGGTTTTCCAATTTATTTCACAAATGTTTGTTGAACCCCTGTTGTGTTCCAGGCTCTGTATTACATATTCCTGTAGGAACTCATGGACTCTTGCCACATAATTTATTCACTCATCATTAAAAGAAACAAACTTGACTGTTAGAGAATAACCTGACACCACATCACGCAGGGTCCAGTTTTCTGTGCCTTTTTATTGGGGAGTAATGCCCACGCAGCAGGGGACATGGTTGTCGAAGCACTGCTGTGTGTCAGCAGACTCGAGGCCGCTGGGCACATGGTCGCGCTGGCAGTGAGCGTTCTGAGAGAGAAACCGAGGCAGCGCTGCTTCTCCTGATCGCCCACAGACGCACTCTCAGCAACGCTTGCTGCTCCGTCACTGTCTTATATTTCACAGGGACGTTTATGCCAAAAAACTTTTTTCCCACAAAATGAAAAAATAAAATGGGAAAATGTTCAGTAAAGAGTTCCGATTTATTTGATCTGTCTGCAGATCTTCCAACCAAGAAGCAACAGCTACAAGCTTTGAACCTCCTCGTCATCCTCCTGCCAGAGGCGAATCGAGACACACTGAAGGTCGGTGGGCCCGTTTGCCTTCACTACCCCTCCGCATGCAGCGGGGAGCAGAGTCACGTTTCATCATCTGTTGCAAAACAATATGATATTCTCATGGAAATAGTAGTAGTAATCCATAAAGAAAGGACCTGTTTTTGAGGACAGATGGTGGAAGTCTAACTCTTTATTCACGTGTGTACTAGGCTAGTCATGTTAATGGTATTATTAGGTGTTTCGTGTTTTAATTTTTCTTTTCCATTTCTTCTACCAAAACAGATGGTTTGAGGTTCATGTGTTAATGGGAACATGGGGTTCTTCTCTTTTTTTCCCCTCCTTTCTATTTTTCTACATTTTCCAAATTTTATTTAATGAATATTTACTAGTAAGGTGAAAAATGAATGTTTTAAAAGAAAATCCTGAGTCATCACACATAACCCATTATTAACTAAATGTTACATTTGTTTGGAGTTTGGAATATATCATCATGGTGATTTTTAAAATGTTCAGTTAGCCAAAAGATAGACCAACTCAAACAAATTCTAGTTATTTCTCTAAAGACTTACCCTGAGTTGCTGATTTGTATCATGATTTCAAAGTGTTTTCATCTAATATTATATGATTTAATACCATTTATTGTAAGTGTTGTTAGAGCCTTTTATAGTAATCAGTAGATTGCTCCACATTGAGTTATTTTCCTTAATCACAAGAGTTCATAGGGTATTTATGAAGGGTTTAATTATAAACTTTTATAAAACAAAAAGAGAAAAACTTTAAAAGTATAATTTAGAAAGAATATTTACCTTAAGTTTCGCTGTTGCCTTAAGATTTTTTTTTTATATATATATATAAAGGTAAGGATGGAACCATTGCCCTTTTACCCCTTACATTTCTTTCTATTTAAAAAGAAATATCATGACAAGAAATTGCATGTCAAGAAAACAAAGCTACCATTTGGTAAATCTTGGAAATTTTTTCCTGTACTCACTAAGATTCCTTGAATTGAAACTAGGTGAGTGGTAGTTCTTTCACGCCCGTGAAATGAATGTTGGCACTCAGTTTATCTGGATTAGAGCAGTTTTTGAAGATTACCGGTGCGAAAACACTGCGTTGCTGCAGGAGACCTTCCAAAGAGTGATTCCCGTTACTAAGTCAGAAAAAAAACCCCAAAACAAAACTCTGTGGCTTAAATGATTGTCCAATGAATCAACGAGAATGCAGCTCTAGGTGTCGTTTTGTTTTGGAGGCAGAGACCAACTCCAGAAAGGGTCACAGTCAAGTGTTGTGTGACCATGGCGGCTATGTAAGGTGGTGCAGTTGGTGGCCGAACAGGGACATCTGGCCCAGGACAAGGTGGGGCCTGACTTCCAAGTCTGTTCTCTGCTTGCAAGCTATGCCCTTAACACAGGGCTTCAACTACTTGGAAAGAGGAATTTAATCCATCTTTTCCTTATTCACATAAAGGTGGCCGTCTGTGTGTGGCCCTGTGAATGACCAATATAAGGTGGGAAATGAAAGACATGTGACTGACCTAAAATATGCCTGCATTCAAATGAGTTCAACCAGTGCTGGGAGGAAACGCTTATTCCAATACGGCTACTACTGGGCAAGGCTGGTCTAGAATTCATTTTTGTACTTGGCCTTCAAAATCGGAGGCACATTGTTTTTAAAATTCTGTTTAAAAATATATTTTTAAAATTTTTGAGTAGTTTTAATTTTTGTATGTAAAGTTACTGGGTTATAAGCAAGGTTGGAAATACTTTTGGGGGGTAAAAAATTGGAAAACGGGAACAAGTCATTGTACTAATTTACATAAACTTTAGTAGCTTGATTAACCAGCTCTGATGAAGGTTTCAAACAAGAATTCTAACAATAGAAACGTTGACGCAAGTGTACCGTATGCAAGAGAATAGACAACTTAAATTTAGTTCTATAAAAGACAAAGGAAACCCCATTACAAGGTAATTTCAGGACACGTAGGGTGAACTTCCCCAATTTTTGCAGTCCTCATGCTGCTCCTTCAGTGGCACTTGGAGGGACAGGGTTATGTGCATGACTTGTGTGACTATTTCTACAGCATATTTAAGGGTTAGGAGGCACTGTGTTAAACACCACGTGCTTGTTTAAGCATAAAGCTATGGGCGTCTTTGGGCAAGTTGCTCAACCAGGATTTTTTTTTTTAACCTTGGACTATTGTACATTTGGATCCATGATCATACCTTCCTTTGACTTAGAAAAATAACAAAGACTGATGTTAAGATATCAATGGAGATCCATATAATTGTTGGCATTTATCCTTTTTACAGTTTTTATAAAAAAACTGCTAAGTGTATGGGGCACCAGTAACTAATTAACATTGTATAAATTTCAAGTGTACAGCTTTATAACACAATGCCTTTGTGCTCTGTTGTGTACTCACTGCCTGATGTCTAGTCTCCTTCCGTCACCGTGCATTTGACCTCCTTTACCCTCTTCATCCTCCACCCACCCTCTTCCCCTCCGGTGACTACCATTCTGTTGTCTGTCTGTGAGTTTATTTAGTTTTTTTTATTCTTTTGTTGCTTTTTGTGTACCCCATATATGAGTGAAATCATATGGTTCTCTTCTGTCTGACATTTCACTTAGCATAATACTCTCAAGACACATCCACGTTGTCCCAAATGGCAGTATTTCATTCTTTCTAATGGCTGAGGAGTATCCCATTGTATACAGGTACCACATCTTTATCCAGTCACCTGTCAAAGGATATTTAGGTTGTTTCCATGTCTTGGCTATTGTGAATAATGGTGCAATGAGCATAGGGGTACATGTATCTTTGCAAATAAGTGTTGCTAAATTTTTTGAGCAGGTACTTCGAAGATTGCTGGGTCTTATGGGAGCTCTAATCTTAATTATTTTAGGAAGTTTGTTAACATACGCTGTCTCAATTAGTCCTGGCAGGCTAGGAGATTAGTATTTCCACTTAACCAGTGAGAAAACTTCAAAGAGCAGAGATATCAAAAGGATGTACTAAAATCACACATAGCTAGTAACTGTGCTGGAATTTAAACTGGGCTTTCAGAGAGTGGGTTCAGTGATACTATAAAGTACCAGACCAGTGATAAATACTTTTTTAAAAGGGCAGTTCTTAAAATTCATTTGAAGAGAAAGTATATTTGAAGATGAAGTTCTTCCAGCAAGGGCTAGGCTAATATTTTTATTAATTTTATATCTACACACACTCACATTCTAGTATTCTGAGAGTATATTTTGAATAACCTTATTGTATATGCACACCACGATTAAAATGGTTCATTACCTAATCATTGTAATTTATGCTCATAAAGAAAGAGATACACTGATCCCTAAGTAATTATTCTGCTCTCTGGAACAAAATTAAATATTTTTTTCCAAGCCTCACCAATTAATCTTTTGTCCTCATTTGAGAAGGTATTGTTTCTATAAAACCTTATGCTTGGATTACAATTTAAGTTTCTGAGCACTGTACCAGAAATTAGATATATAAATCTTATTGTTAGACACTAAGGCTATGCCTTTAATTTGTTTCTAATTTTTGAGATCTATATAGCAGCCAAATTTGATTCAAGATCAATGTGCTAGGAATTTCCCCCACCCCCCCGAAATGCTATGAGAGATGAATACTTTCCCCTACTTTTTTCCATTTTGGTATAGTTTATTTGACCTTTTTCAGGTAGGGATTTTAAGCTAAATAAGAAAATGTGATTCTTTTTAGTAAGTAGTTGAGGGTTCAGAAACAAAAGCCAGATAGGCCTGACATTAAATTGCTTCTCCACCATTTGCTACCTATATGACCTCTGGTAAGTTACTTCCATTCTCTTAGACATTGCTTTCTCATCTGCAAAGTGGGGATAATTACAGCGTTTATCTCCGGTAAAGATTAAGCGGGATAGCTCTCTGATGTCCTTAAAACAGTGCCTCACCCACAGAGAACACTGCATACCTGTGCAGTTATTGTTACTGATCTGGACCCAAATAATTCAAAAAAGAAGGCAAAAGAACTTAAAGCTCTAAGCCTTATGAGGATGAGGGTCACCTGCCTGTGGCTTTTGGGCAGGACAGGGTCAGAGGACACCTGATGTTGGCAATAGAAGACGGAGGTGGGTGGCATCAAACTGAGAATAATCTAGCTCATTTCTGGTGAGAAGTTCCTTTTTATTCATTCATTTTTTTAAAGACTCTCTTCTTTGTCTCTCTTCATTCCCTTTTTCGCCACATCATAATCTCCATTGTTTTAGATTTCATGTCAGCTGGCCGTTGAGCACCTTAAAGCAAATGAAACTGAGGTTAAATGAGCCTTTTTAAGGGAATCTTCCCCCCCACCCCGGAAATAAAAGAACACACCTCCTGAGCAAGTGAATAGTTGTATGATGTTTTAAATGGCTTTTCAGTGCTTTATGGCTCTGGGGGACAGTTGGTCTGACACTTCTCCATGCCTGTCCCCGCCACTTGGCTCAGGCGCATGCGCCCCAGTGCCGTGGTCCTGAGGGCGAAGCACCCGCTCAGAGTGCGGTAACCAAATGGAGAAGCTTTGATGACAAGGCCTGCTGGGTGTGGCTGGCCAACTGTGGTTTTGCACAACTTAATTTTTTTTAACTAAATAAAAATCCCATATGCCGTGGTGCTTTACTCTCTCATCTTTATGTACAACACCAATCTCACAGTCATTTCTGTTTCAGGCCCTGCTTGAATTTCTCCAAAGAGTAATAGACAATAAAGAGAAAAATAAGATGACATCCATGAATGTGGCGATGGTCATGGCCCCGAATCTCTTCATGTGTCATGCGTTGGGTTTGAAGTCCAGCGAACAGCGAGAATTTGCAATGGCAGCTGGGACAGCTAATATCATGCACTTACTTATTAAGTATCAAAAACTTCTGTGGACAGTAAGTATATATTTTGAAGCTCTGTTAATGAGCGATGATACCTAGATTCTGAAGTCTTTTTATTCATTATTATATTCTCAATAAGAAGGTAACCAGATAGGTGATTTCAAATGGGATTTAAAGAAATTAATATCCATTTTTTTAAACCTTAATGTTTTAAAATGGCAACAGTATTATTTCAATTTGGTCACTTTTAAAATATTTTATTTTGCTAATGTAATTTTTCAGGACTCATTGTTCCTGGGTTATTGCTAGATACCTGTCAGCTCCTGTGTATTTGTGAGTTTTTCTTGCTCTTTTGACAGGAAAGGCTAGGAGGCCATTAGAAGGGGTCTGTAGGTTAGCGAGAGGCTAGGTTGTGGAAGGGTGGTCGCTAAAGGGACCAACCAGCGAGGTGGTGGCTCCGAATGCCAGTCCCCTCAGGCTGTCCCCAGCGTTGGCATACCAGGCATAGACGAAGGCTGCTATGTCCTCGGACCTCACCAAGCCCCTTTGGGGACCTTACCCCAGTAGGCGGTAGACTGCGTCATGCGGATGCCCTGGACACATGGCGAATGAGTCATACCATGCATTTCGTTTTACTGGTTTAATGAAGAGTGCACATAAAATGGCATCGTCTCATCTAATAGGCAAAACTTTTACTTCTTTCAGTTGAAGAAATAAATGTAACTGTTGCCATAGTTTAAATGGTGCCACTTCTCTTTCCTCTCCAAACTTAATTTCATGTCTCCATAGATTCCCCAGTTTCTTGTCAACCAAGTGAGAAAGCAAAACACCGAAAATCTCAAAAAAGATAAAAAGACAATGAAGAAATTGCTGAAGAAAATGGCGTATGACCGAGAAAAATATGAAAAGCAGGACAGGAGTACAAATGATGTAAGAAAAATGTGAAGATATATATTTACATAGATTTCAGTGTTGATTTTAATACCATACACAACAAAGAGTGCTCTATGTTTTTATTATATGACTTTCTACACACTTACTAGGTCCTGGTACTACTTGTAAGGTAATGGCATGAACAGGTTGAGTGTGCTCCTACAAAGTTACAAAGCTCAGGCTTTGCTCAGGTGTTGGTGACTCAGCAGGGGAGCTGGTAATTGGTAACAAAGGAAGATAAGACCAGAATGTCTCACATACACCCACCCACACACAGACAGCAACAAAGGACTTCCTGGAGACTCCAGCTGCCCAAGAGTGTGTAATGTCTAGCCAGTAAGGAGCCCCTTGTGTGAACCACTGATCTTTTATCTTCAGTGTTCCCATCTGTAAAATGGGAAAAAAATAACCCAGAGAGACAAATAGACCAATGTTTGTGTTGTGTCTGGGATACTTCCTGGATATCAGTAAGTAAGTAAAGATTCTTAGTTGGATCATACGAAGAATTTGGAAAAAGTTAGAATAAATTAAAGTATTTAAAGAAATATCTAAATATTAGTATTTATAAACTTCTGGAAGTATACATTAAAAACTGCACTTAAAATAATTAGGTGTCCATGAAAACACATATATGAAGTGAGTTACCAAAGCTCTGACTTGAAACCTTAACATGAAATGAAAGGGTTTTTCTATTGTTCTATTTTTGGTGAAGACACCCCCACCACCATGCCATTGAGGTTATTCAGTTACATGCTGCCATCTTGTGGAATAATCTGGAAATGCAGCTATCAGCTTTTGCTATTTCTGCTTTGGCCTACTTTAGGAATCTAGTAGGTGAAAAACCACACACACACCCCCCCCCCACACACACACCCACACACCCCCGCCCCTCCACCCCACCTTTATTTATTGGTAGCTCTCACTGTTACAAAATGAAATTTTCTTGTTCATTAAAGATTGTTGGTCAATTTTTAACTATCTTTAAGAACAAAATTTAATAAAGGGGAGTTTTAAATTGTGTTCATTTTTTTTGAGAAAGGGCTTGATATCATAGATTACAAAGGATTTTTGAGATAAATCATTTTTGTTTAACTTAGGATGTTTATTTCTTCTAGAACCATTATAAACATGTGACTATCTTCTTGTTTAGGAGTCCTGCCTTTCAAATTAATTTAGGTGACTTCATAACCTTGTGTCTTTTGTAAGGCAGTTGTAATGTGATATTCTAAAGCCCAGTATATAGCTAAGGAAACAAAATTTGTGTTTTACTTTTTTAATAACAGACTTTTAAGTAAAAATTAAAAGTTACTGTTTTGGTAACATTTAAATGTTTTTGTCATTTACAGAAAAAAACAGCACACTTACTTGGATTTCTTTAGTTTTTACTTTGGGTTCATGAGGCGTGAGCTGGTCTGAGATTTACCGCTGTACTAGTTAGAAGCCCTGCCTTCAGTTTAAGGCTTGAGATTTAAACCTGGATTTAAATTTCAGTTTTGTCCTGTATTAACTGTGACTCGATTTCCCTGAGGTTTGGTTTTCCTCCTGGCTTCTGCCCTCACTGCCTGCGAGCTATTCAAAGGGAGATGGGGCTGGAAGGGCTGAGTGCAGGGGGCTGGAGGCAGGACGGAAGCCCGACCGACTGGGAAGCCTGACCGGGGACACTCCCACAGCAGGCGGTGGCATCGGAGGCACTTCACTGGGGAGTGGAGCTGAGACACGCAGAACACACAGGGTTTATTCAGGCAGCAAATTGGAGAGCGAGGTCCCACCAGCAGAGGAAGCGTTTCAGCAGCGGGGTAGCCTCTGTGTGATCCTGGCCCACAGTGGCAGTTCGTTTGGGTTGAAAAATTTTAGTCAATTGCCAGAATTTTTTTCGTTACTATGATTTTATTAGGAGGAAGAAATAAAACACAGAAAACTATTACAACTCAACAATGAAGTACAAGATAATGTCACATACTATAAATATGTGGTGAGTCACTAAATAATCAGACTTTTCTGCATTTCTATCAGTTGCCAGAGTTTGAAAACGAAAAGGTTTAACATAAATGTCTGGATTTCTACCTAAACTTGACAAATTGGGTGTAAGAGCATGCCCCTGTGCCCTCTTGCAACAGGGGACCTGTTTTCCTGCAGGGTAACAGTTGCTTGAGTCTGAGTAGCATCAGTTCCCTCTGGTGGAACATGGGCCACCTGCTCTGCTCTGAGCCACTCTACACCCCGCTTTCTGGCTTGTTGCCTTGTTTCCTAACTCTTTCCCCCAGGTCATTTGAATATGCAGCCCAAAACTATACGACCTGAAACAGCCTGGACTATTGTATTTGTTAAACTGCTATTTGATGCATGCCTGCTATGTGCCAGGCGATGTTCTAGACCCTTCAAATATATTATGGAACAAAGCAGGCAAAGATCACTGCTTTTGTGCAACTCAAATTCTATCAACAAAAATGAGTAGCATGCACAGATCCCCTAGTATCTTGGTATGTGGTAAAATGCTCTGAGATAATAAAAGTAGTAGAGCAGGAAAAGGGGCTGGGGGGTCCTCTTACAGTTTTAACTTGGGTGGCCCAAGCATTATTCATTAGGCAAGGTGTGAAGCAGCTCAGGGAGCTGAGCTGTGTGTGTACCTGAGGAAGCGCATTCCAGGCCCAGGAAACAGTTTACACACAAAAAGCCTTAAGGCAGGACATGCCTGAGATATTTAAGGACCAGAAAGGAATGACTGCAACTGGAGTGGCGCCAGCAAGGGGAATGATCTTAAGACACGAGGTCAAAGGGACAATAGGACCTGATTATATAAGGCCTTGTTAGGAATTGGGATTTGCCCTGAGGGAGGGAGGATTATTGCAGGATTCTGAGCGAAGGTCTGACCCGTCTGTGTTTTGAAAATGATCTTTGGGGCTGTTGAGTTGAGAATGGATTCTAAGAGAGTAAGGATGGAATAGGGAGACCATTTAAGAAATCCGTGTTATAACTCCGGTGAGAGACCAGTGTTTGCACTAGATGTGGAGGAGTGGTCAGATTCTGGATATTTTTTTGAAGTTAGAGCCATTGGGATTTCTCGATGCTGAAATATTAGAAGTTGTAAGAGAAAGAAATCAAGAATGACTTGGAGGGTTTTGTCCTGGGAAATCGGAAGGATGGAGGTGACACTTAGGGAAGATCGCAATTTCAATTTGGGTCCTGTTGAGTGTGAGCTGTCCATTAGATATCTCCGTGTGGACGTTTGACTATGTTTGGAGGGAAAGTTAGGTCAGACTGAATGGCCGGTGAGATGCACGGAGGGGCAGGGGCAGAGGAAAGGCTGGAATAGGGCTCAGAGGGGAGCTGGGCTTCTGTTCCGCACGTGACAGAGAACTGCTGAGGGTGTGCCCGCAGTGATACGATTCTACAGTTGACCCTTGAAGAACACAGGTTTGAACGGCACAGGTCCACTTATATGCAGACTTTTCTTTTTTGTTTTCCCCAGTAAATACTCTCAGCCCTCCGTATCCTCAGTTTTCACCTTTATAGATTTAACTAACTCCTGACTGAAATCTATATTTCGATCTGTAATTGGGAATTGCAGGTGTGGAAGGCCGACCAGACAGATTATTCCGTGATATTTTATGTAAGGGACTTGAGCATCCTTGGGTTTTGGCGTCTGCAGGGGGTCCCGGAACCTTAGAATAGTTGCTATGAAGGCAGGTGAAGGATGTCCTGCAGGGGCGAAAGATAGGAGGCTAGGGAGGAGATGTCGGCTCATTTCACTGTGGATGGGAGTGTACAGGGTCTGGCAGAAGTAATGCCATGGCATGTGGTTGGTAGGGTACGTGAATGTCTCGAACAAGATGGATAGTAAATTGAACGTTTCACCTAAAATGTCATAGGGTGTGCTTGAGTGTGATATTGTTATGTTACAGAATTACATGCCTTTGAGTTTGTAATGAAAGATTTGGTATAGATTACCAACGCATAAAAAGAGGGGAGGGGGTGCATTATTTGTGCCGGACCCTATATATTTAAATTTGTAGAATTCTTCTGGAGAGCATTTGGCTTGTGGCAAAGGCCTGAGAACTATTACACTCAGAGATTCTTTCAAAAGGAGTAACAGGACGATAAGCATGCAAATAATTATGCCTAAGTTAATTGCCATCTTCTTAATACTGGCCCAAATTAGAAATCATTAAAAAAAGATACAGGTGATTAGATAAATATATTATAGCATATCTGAAGAATGAAATACCATGAAAATATGAGTGTATATATTGACCCTCGAAGATATTCATAACACATTGAATGGAGTTATAAGTCAGTGAATATTATATTGCTATATTTGTAATAATTATTATTATTTTGACTGCTTACCACAGGTCAGGAATGATGCTAAACATTTTATAAACATTATTTCCTTTAATATTCATAGTAATTCAATTGGAGTATATTGTTGTCTCATTTTTCTTTACAGATGAGGAAAGTGAAGATTAGCAATCTCAGATAATTTATGGTTATCTAGATAGGAAGTGGTGGAACTTGAAACCTAATCTATATGACTTTTTAGTCCAGATCTCTTTACTGTTATCCTCTGTGTCCTCACAGAATACAGAAAAACTCTAAGGAGTGATATATGCCAATCCTGGGCTTATGAGTCGTCACACAATGAACATGTTTTATTGCCATTATAAAACGTTTAACATAGAGCTTTTGAAAGACTCCTGGGCTCAGCCAAGGGCCTGCAACGGGAATGGAAAGAAGTGTTAAATATGAGCCGGTAGGACCCACAAGATGTGGAAGCTGACTGGATGTGAGGGGTGTGGAAGAAGGAGGACCCTAGAATGACTTGCCAATTTCACCTTGGGTGATTTTAGTTCAGACATTTATATGGAATCACTAAAGGCCCTACGTAGCAACAGCAATCCTGAGAAAGAAGAACAAAGTTGGAGGACTCATGCTACCTAATAACAAGCTATACTATAAGGCTATAGTAATCAAAACAGCATGGTACTAGCATAAAAACA